AAGCAGTAATTCTCCTGGTAGCGGTATTTTTTTTTGTTTCTTCTTCTGCTGCAAATTATTTGGGGGGAAAAAGGGGGAAAATGGAGAAGCGAGACCTGAACTCGGTGGAACGAAAAAGGGAGGCTCTTGTGAAAACATCGCGATCCATCTCGGCTGCACGAGCCTCGCGGCGGGAGCTCTCCGCGACCACGGCTCTCGACGCTGCTTTTAGGTCTACCAGGATTATGTGTGTCGACCGTTTCATAAATAGGGAGCAAGTGTAAGCCGCAGGTGTGAGCTTTAATTCTGCGGTAGCTGCTGTTTCTCGCGCCCCCAAGCCCATCTTAAATCACGTGGAGACGCGAGGACGAACCCATGCTGCGAATTTCTTCTCAGCCGCAGCCCGGGCAGCTGCAAGCCACGTGTGTGGGATCTCAGGATACAATCCAGGGAGGGAGTGGCTGAGCGCGCAATTCCGTTGACGCGCGTTGTCTCGAGAATTCCCCACAAGCTTCAAGCGTCGGCCATGCTTCTCAAGGTCGCCGCTTCATGCAGCATTCTCGTCATCTCATTCCAAAGACTTTCGCAGCCCCATCCGACCCGAACTTCCGGGTTCGAGATCGGCGTGCACCCATAGAAACTCGGCTGAGGGCTCGTGGAGCCGAGCGGTGAGAGTAAGCCGTCTCCAATTATGCGAGAAACGGACTTGATTTGGTATCCTGCCTTCGCTGCTGCCTCTGCTGCTTTTACATTCGCCAATGACCGCTGACGCGGCCGCTGCGGTCTGCGATGTAGAGCTGGACGACGGAGATGAGAAATCATGGAACGAGCTGAGATTGAACAAATGAGACTGTTTGAAGTGCAGTTCTGGAGACCATATTTCCTCTTCTGACAAGATCATCATAACATAGGAGAATGAAAGAGATCCTCTAATAATTCTACTCGAGGATGAAAAAGCGTCTCACTTTGTTCGTGGTAAGCGAGAGTCTCCCGCCTCTGAGAACATAGGCGCGAGGCTCGACAGAAGGCTCCAACTCTCAGTCCTCGTGTATTATTCGTAGCTCCCAGCCCCGGTCCCCCTATGGGCGAGCAAAACGTTCCGAATGCGAAGGCAGAGCTCTCTCGGAGTCCGCCATGGTCACTATACAAGATCCTACTTGCGCTCACAAGTATGTAACAGTGCCGAGTTTCCCTGACGAGCTCGGGAAGTTTCCTCCGAGCAAGGAATCATCCCGAACGTGTTGATGGTTCTCCCGTCGCTGGGAACTCTCCAGCGTCGCACTCGGGCTCGTACGGCTCACCTTGTTTGTTCCTTAGCAGCGACTTGCCTGCAGATAGTAATGATGACGTCCGAACGTACATAGGGGAGAGGGAATCTCAGCAATCGCTTCTCGGCCAGCTGTTCATTCCCAACTCGTTCGAAATCGCCTTTTGTTGTTCTCACGTTCGCTCCTTCGTCCCAGTTGTTTTTTCCCAAATCATTGGCTGCTGAGGCGAGCGCAAGTTCAGAAGCTCTGTACGAGCCATACCTTTTCTTTCTTCGAGCCGTTCGACCATTGCACTTGACGACAGCATAGATTTTCTTCTTCGAAGCACCGAGCTCGCGTCTCGCTATTTCCCCTCGCGCCACTTCCGCCTCTCCCTCCTATTCCCACTGCCCGGTCGACTCTCTCCATCTCCGCAGTCCTTCTCCGCTCGTTTTCTTTCTACGGTGCCCAGGAACGCTGGATGGAACGGTGGGGGCGGCACTCGCTGGCTCCTGAAGCAGACGCGCACATACAAATCGGAGGCTTTTTATCGCCAGGTCGGTTATCGAACTGTTCGTTTTGACCGTTTTCGGGAAGAGAGTGTATCTTGCCGTCCGGGACACTCTCGCCCTTTCGTTCCGTGGCGAGCCGAGCGATCAGCAGACAAAGTGGCCTTGCCTTACGAGGATTCAGATGCCTCGATTCGTCACCTGAACGGGCGCTCCCTTTACTCGTCCCGATGCTGTTTCACGTTCATCGCACTGTGGTCGTTTCAATTTCACAATTGTTAGAGACGGATGGAAGTATTCCGTCCTCAAGGTTTTTGGCGTCGAGTTTGACCGGCAGCGTGTTATGCAACCCGCCATTCAACCATTTGTTCGCGGAGGGCAGGAAAGTAGAGCTTTCAGCGAAAGAGAAAACAGAGAAACTTGGCACCGAAACATTCGACGTTCATAAGAACAACACTCGCCTACGCCTGGCTGCTTCTCAGCTGAACGTCCCCTCCCAGTAGGTGCTGAAAAGTCGGACAAACCTTTCTGCAGGCGAGTTCTTGTATAAAGAAGAATAGACGTATTCTCTTTTCGGTCCTCGGTGATTTTTACATTTATTCGGAACACCGAGAAGCAGGCGTATTGAATCCTGCTCCCTTGTGAAAACCTCTCTCGTTTCGATGGACTTGGTGGGGGGAAAAGTTTTTCGACTCTCTCAGAATGACGGAGGGAGTTCGTTTCAATGGAGCGACGCGGCTCCTTTGGGTTCCGAGCCTCTGAATCACGAACATACTGATCAGAACGTCGGAATTGTCGGCTCCGAAGCGCTAATTAAAACCTGTTTATCGGCCCGGTAGGCTTCGAATTACCCGAATGATAGGGTGCCGCGCGAATATCACCGGCTGTCACCGGGTCTACTCGCCGTATGAAAGCCCACCGAGTAAGTATGGCAGCTCTGGGCTCGCTCTGGGATAAGGGAGGGTATCGGCGATAGAATGGGACGCCCCGCGGACGGACGGACGCACGCACGGAGCATTCATCTTGCTCATGCGTTCGATTCAGGTGGAGGAGGCGCGGGCCTGTCTTTTATTGTTTCGGGTCGGCGGCAGGTTCTCTCTATTCCGGTTCAACAAAAGACGAACTCTGCAGGAGATAGCACGACTCACAGAAGATATGTTGCCCACCAAGAATACACCCGCTGCTGGTGGCCTACTTCTACGGCTCCATCCTCCGCCTCGATGGATGTTTATAGCCGTGAGGGAGAAGCGACGATGTAAATGAGTTAATCGAGGCCTTCTCCAGACAGTGATGGAGCAGCGTCATGGCAATTTGTTACTCTTCGTACGCCACGGAACCATCCGACATACGAAGCACGAGAATGAGACGCAGGCTCTCTAATAGAGTACGGAACAAGTTTACCACAAGCGTCCCCAGTCAGCCAATCGCTCGCTTCCAGCCTGGCGGGGGGGGCGACAGCGCGCGAGCGCCCGACGTCCGACCAGCGAGAGCGACCACCGACCAAAATCCATTGGATCATGGCGGTCGAGCCGTTACCGCTGATGAATTAGCAGGCCGTGGCGTTTTTCCACCGTGGGACAGGGCCTCATGAGAACCCTGGAACCCGCAGCGCTCCCAGACAGCGTGCTCGCGCTCATGTCGAGCCTGCATCAGAGTACGGCAAGCGGTATCGATTGACGCGTAGATGTCCAAGGGCACGCCGACGCGACGATCGGGCGTGACGCAAAAGCGGATCGGACCGATTGTGGTCGAGGGCGATGGCTCATTGCTGAGCCTCAATCGGTGTCCACGGCCGAGATACCCGAGCGAGAGTTCGCCAGTTTTCGCCAAGAGTCCCGGCGATGAAACTGCGTGAAGAAGGGCGCGCCTTCTGTCTCGAGCACTCTGACCTCCGGAAACGTTCCGCGCGACGGAATTAACGCTCTCGATGCAGACTGAAGGGATAAGGGGTTGCTGCCAGCAACGGATTAGACTTCGCAGCCATAATCAGACTTCGTATATGTGTACGTATTATTGTCCGGAACGAGGGCAGCTAGCGGAGTCTGGCAGAGCTCGGGGGCAAATCTCGTAATCCCTCTGCTTGTGCTCGTGCCGAAGGGATCCAGAGTAGCAGTGTGTTCCTGTCGTTCGTCTGTTCGTATTCATGAGTTCTCTTGCTTCCCAAAGCCCTCCCGCTCATCCCCGAAAGAGCGGACAGGCACCCGGAGCCCATTGCTGGACCCTTACCTGCGTGCGAAAGAGCACGCCGAAGGATACTCGGCCTGTGCAGCGGTCCGAGCTCGTCGGTGGTCTCAGAGGTCTTGATTTGTTGGTAATCCTTTGCTGCTGATTGTGGGCTGATGAGGGCCCACCAGACAAGAGAGGAATGGAGCGGCCGGCGCAGACCATTTCTTGGGCTATACTTCGCAGTCCTGCTCCGTCGCAAGCCGTCGACCCGTGGCTCTGTGTGGCCGTCAGGGTTACGAATGTGCCCATCTGCTAGTAGTCGTGAGAGTCTGGAGGACGGACTACAGAGCTTCTCCACGAGACTTTCCCGGGTGTTTTATTCTAAGGTCCGAAATCGAGCCTCGCAGCAGTAGCCTCCGAGATGGGACGTACTATGTGATGCGTTCCGACTCACGGGGAATATTCACCGACGTTTTCGCTTCCGCATGAATCGCGGACGAAATTCGTCGATCGGTTTTTGTTCACTCCACGGAGCTGGAATACACGGATGGAGGGGCTTCGCGAGTTGAGCCGCTCCGAAAAGACACCCCATAATTTAGGTGAAACCTTTCAAAGCTGCTCAACATATGAGCGGTAGTGCCTGATGGTATTCACATGCAGCCGACGTGCTATTGCATTTCGTGCATCATTCGCGGCAGCGCTCGCAACTTGCTCTCGCGCATTTTCTGCTTGAGGAAGCAGCTACCGGGTCCTTGCGTCAGTCTTCTTACCCCCCGACACGTTAGCCACGAAACTAGCGCCAACCCACGTCGTCGCGCGCCGCAGCAGTACGAAAAAGCTGAAGCTTTTGTTAAAACTCGGGGAACAGTTTGCATTCGGAGCGTCGAAATGAAACTTTTCTGTAGGTACTCCGGCTCGAGCGATCTTGAGTTCACCTCAAAACCGACGGGAGGATCGAGTTCCGGAGTTCACCCTGACGTAGATACGATCGCTCGTATCTTGGTGAAAAGTCCATCGCCTCGATGAGCTTCAACAATTAGGTATGTCTTGCGTCAGCACCTGCATCAGTTCATCGGATAACCTTCATTTTTCTTTCCAGTGCTCTGCGGTCCGTCTCCGTGGCAGGAATCACGATGCTCGTGGTGACTCATTCGGCTAAGACAGCTCTCAGGAATCTCGATTGGTGAGTCCCCCCCCCGAAGGAACTTCATTGCGTAATTGAGGAATATCCGAGACAGAAAATGAGAGCTCCGTGATTAGGTAGATAGACCCTCGCACTAATTAGAAGTTTTGGAGTTCTACGATTCCTGTGTGGTAGCCTAACGATGAGCTGGCGGGTCGGATGAGAACTAGATCAGAAACTTTCGCAAAAACAGAAGGAGCAGACAGACTATTGGTACCTTTGTAAAGACTCCATGCGTGTCTTGGCATCATATTTCCGGAATCGTCCAGAACCATTGGACGCGGCTCGGAATGTCCGCGAGATCGCATGCATTTTGAGCACCTCTCGAACACTGGCTCGAGCTAGAGTCGACCCCCGAGGCTGTGGCTCAGAGGAATTGATTTGAATTCGTTTGCTATCGGCTCCACCGATGTCAATAACAGCTTGCGACAAAATACCGATCGCGTTGCCGAGCCCTGTGGACGCGTTTGAGCTGCACGGGTGTGCTCTTCTCGGAGCAGCTAATGAATTTCCTCTCCCCTCGAAGACTCGTTCCTAAGTCGCCGTGTCCGAGTAGAGTGCAACAATAGCTCCTCTGGTAAGAACGAGTAGATTACAACCAGCCGACGCGGTAGTCTCGTAAATTCAAGAGGGCCTGAGTCGCGGCAGACATAGAGTCGGACAGACCGACGGACGATTGCGCAGATCAACGGATGGAGAACATCTTCGAACTTAAAATTAAATTCCTCCGAGTATCATCATCATCATCATCGCTGGCCTCTGCGGGTTACGGAGGACAGTGAGGGAGCAGGGTGGAGGGAGCGAGGACGGACAGAGTCGGCGAGACTAATATTCTCGTAATGGAGGTCAAAGCCATTCTAAGTCGGAATTCCTGAATAAACTCGCGTCCGCCCGTCTGCTGATGCGAGCGGTCACTCGGACGACAGCGATTGGAGTTCCTCCGTGAGCTGCTCCTGCCCTACGGCCCCTTTCCGGAATGAAATCGCCCCCCGAATTCCCAGATGACTGTAAACAAAGGAGAGACCCTGGAGTCAGATATCTGGACAGCGTTCCGAAGCAGGAATTCGTCCCATGGGATGCCCAGAAACCCAGCTGACGATAATCCTCTTGCGACGGCGGCCACATAACGTTGGGCAGCGATGTCAGCAACTGTTATGGGTAGATGAGAAGAGGTGTCGTCCATGCACAGAAACAGGACTTCAATCATCTCTCCCTCGTTCAGCCGGAGCAACAAGTTCAGCCGAGAGGATCTCTCTTTCACCGAGATGACGAGCCTCCTGACCGTCAGGGACCCGATTTGAGTAAAAACACTCCCGGGAAAGGCTTCGCGACGGCCGCCGCAGAGACGATTATTTCCATAAGTCTTAATTCGGTGGGACATTCACTTTAATGTGAGCCCTCGCGCATAAACTCAGAGAACGGCGACCGGGCGCTCGACGTTGGCCTTCGGGGGTTGCGGAGCCTCGAGTTGACCATTAGGCGGCAAACCAGATTTTCTCTGGTCGTGCCCGGGCCTCCCGAAGGGACATTGAATCAAAATTGTTCTTATAAATCATTCCGTCTTCTCTGCTCCCAATGGCCACGAGTCCAGCGCAGGCCGGACGGGGAAGCGCGGGGGCGGACGCGAGACGAGGCAAGTTGAGATGGCTGGGCGACGGTGGAGGAAGCATTTTCAAAAATATGCATGGCGTGAATGGTGACGCCATATTTCACCGACGAGAACGCCCAGTTCCGCCGCCGGAACTCCTAGTCGTTGTCCGACCCACGACGATAGCAAGGACTATCTCTCACTCAGTGTGAGCATTTTAATTTAAAGGACTCCCTATTAGGTAATACAGTCGAGTTATCTACTGCAGGACGGGCAACCCAAAGACTATTCCACGCCTCCAGCTATGGGAATCGCTCCGCTTCGAGATGAGTTGTGGTCCACGTCCGTGACGCGATGCTTCAAAACTGACCCGACTCGGCTGAGGAATTCAGAGGACCGCGACGTGTTAAATTGATTCCCTTAAAACACCGAGGAAATCGTCGAAGCACATCCGGGCTCAGCTTTTAAAGCGAAAGTTCCGCTGATTCGCTGCTTAGCGGAGACGGGAATCAAGAGCCGAGAAATCGTAGCCCACAACTGCGCGTCGTTGCGTCCGCGAGACGCTTTGCAACTCGACACAATGATGTCCTGAGAGGATTGTTCCCCGATCGGTGGCTGGACTTCAGTGGGTTCCGCCCGTCTGTCTCCCGCGGTTCCCTCCGGAGAAGCCGAGAATCCCGAGATGCATTCATCAGTTACAAAACTTTTGAGATCGGATACGAAAACGTCCGCTGGGCCGTTCGACCGGTCGGCGTCTTCCCGCGAGTCCGCATCCGATTCTGATACGACAGCGCCGCATGGAGATGAGAAGAGCGCTCTCGCGTGAGATGAAATCGTGGGTGCCAAGTAGCGAACGACATCTGAACTAGAGATGGCAAGAAATAGAAGAGTGACTGCGAAGAAAAAGTGGAAGAGAACAAGAAAGAGACGACTCCGAAAGGGAAGACTAGCGGGCGGACGGACGGACGAAGGGATGCAGAGATGGGCGAGCAGGCAGGCGGTCGGTCGGGCGGACGACGAAGACGACGACGAACATCGACAGGAGTGATGGATGGCTCTTAGAATTGAGCCGGCACCCATACAGCGGAGCCACGGCGCCAGTCAGGACTTCAGCATGCTCAGTTCTCGTTGTTCCTCGCTGTCTGTCGTCCTTTGCCCATCGATTCATGGGCTTCTCCTCCTTCTGGGGAATAACGATTTTTCCTCCGACTTTGCCGCCGTCCGTGGCTGGGGAGCGGCTGATCGGCTTTTTTTCTTCCCTCGACCCCCGGAAGAACAAAAATTGTAGAGGTCCCATCCTCTCTCTTCTTGACGCTTACCAGTGTCATTTAAGATGATATTCTTCTAGTTGACTGGTCACTCCACTGAACCGCGGCCATCCGTTCCTCTCCGGGCCTAAACTTGCTCGATAAGAGAATGAGCCCAACAGCCTTCTTCGAAAGCTCCCGAAGAATTGAGGTTTTTCGAACGTCCTCGACTAATCTTCACCCTTTTCAGGCAATCGGAATATCGTTTGTATTCCTCGGCGCTCAAGGTCGTTCCCGGAAACGTGAAAATGTGGAATAATCTGGGTCGTTTCCACGAGAAAAATTTCAATATGCTCGAAGCCTACAACTACTACAACCAAGCCATGAGGTGAGTTCTTCCCGAGGGCCCCGGGCAGCTGTGAGCAGTGGAAACCCCGCGGGTTTCGACCAAGAATGGATGTCAATGTTGGAAGCACCGATCCCGAGCAGGAGTGATGAGTGCGCTGTCGGATCGGAGTCTGCCTTCAGACGCTGACGCGGTTGGCACCCACGCGGCGACGGGCTCACGACATTAGTCAAATAGATCCTCTCTAATGAAAACAGACAGCTGAGGTCACATCTGCGATGTTCGCTGTTTTAGGAATCGAGCCGACTCCCATTCTAGACTGAAAACACGCGCGGTCGACGTTCGCGTGAACCGAATTCGTAAACCTCGTCGTTAGACGCCGCTGAGAGTATTTCGATCCCCGTTCAGCGAACTTGAGACCCCGTATTTTTCCATCCCGAACCTCTTCATTGGCGAATTCGCAAGGTTTCCACGGTACCGTTCGGAGCGAATGGATCGCAGCGGACCCCCCTCGCGGTCTCGCTCGCTGTGAGCTTTTATGAACGTGTACCTTCAGCCTCGGACTCGCGATCGTCTTGCAGAATTTTTTCTAGCGTGTGGTGCAGAACAATATTCCCCTAAAAGCTTCCATGGGAGCTCCTTCATCCAACTTCAAGCCCGCACGCATCATCACCATGAAAGGATTCGCCGGGCGTAGAATCTCAACCGATAGCGCGGGCCCGGAGCGATATGGTAGCCCACACGTCTTGCATAGCGATATCATCAATGATTTTCGCTGCTATTTTGGAACCCATGTCGTGTCTCGCAGTCCCTGGCAATTCATTTAATTGCCGGACTTTCTGACCGTCGAGTGGTTTTTCGATTCCCTCGCCGACCGCTGGCCCTCGGCCTAACTGTAAAACAGCCTAGCTTCGAGAGACTTCCACGGTATCTCATCACAGATCTCGAGCACGACGCGCGATTCATACTGGTAGGTACGCTTTACGACGGAACGTTCGTGCGAAGAATAAGTGCCCTAACGCTTTGTTGCGCTTCATGCTGGCCCGCGATTTCCAAACTTGCTGATAACGCCTCAAAGCCGAGTCGAGTTCTGCTAGGGGCAAAGCGGAGTCCATCATCTAGGCAGAGCCTCCGCTTTCCGAAGGGACGCTCCGGATCGATCGCGGGCTATTATACGTGGGGTAGACAAAACACTTGGCAGCCGTCAAGCTGAGACTCAGGGTATTTGCAGACTGCGATTCTGCTGCGGAGAAGAAGGTTTCTAATCACCGAGAGGTCTCGCGAGAGCGAGGAAAACCAAAACCGTGCAGCGTCGGAGGCTCTTGCATCAATAACCGATTAGACGTCTCGAAAATACGCCGAGAAAAAGAGGCATCGACTTCTTTCCACTCGGAGCTCCAGCCTGCTCGCTGTTTGTGTGTGCTGCTCTCCTTCGAGGGGCAGGGAGTTTTGATCCGAACGAGGATGCCGAACGAGAGCGATACCGAATGATAATCATCAAAGTCACGTGGCTCGTTTTGTGAGGGGGAGCTTTCAACAGAGCAGAATTGTTTTTGTATGCTCGAGCCTTATGCTGGTCCTTTCACCCCTCACGCGGCACATATGCACCGCAAAGCATGCGGCAACCTCCCTTGAACTTTCCTTTCGGGCATCGCCATCGGACGCCTGTTCGCCCCAGTTCACAATTTTCCCCCATTGTCATCCCACGGCCATGCTATCTTCGGGTCTTTCTATCTCCACCCTTGGTCGTTGAGACGGGGTTTTAGGTTCTATCCCTCCCAGCATCTCCTAATCGTGTCCATCGAATTCAGCCCGACCACGCGAAGCCTCTGAAACCATGTTTACGGTCTTCGTAAAGGCACGGAGCCTTTCTCATGAATGAATATCTAGATGGACGAGCATCATTATGAATCATTCATACATGAATAAAGACTGGTGTTATATTGACCTGTCGGTGGATGCGGCACATGGGCTCGCACCCGTCGGCAACTCAATCGCGCATGTTGGTCGAAGGGTTGGTCGAAGGGTCGGTCGCAACCAGGTCGCCTTCCCTCCCCACCCCTCATTTTTCGCCAGCCGCTGGACAAATGAATAGATGAACGAATAGATGGATCGTTGCCAGGCTTCGCTGGAGGTTGGGGAGAGCATGCTGTATCTGTTGTCTTTATACATTATTCATTCACTCAGCGGTCGCAGCTGGCGTCTGGAACAGACTGAAGTCCAGGCTCATGTATTGTGGAACTACTATTGAATTAGCCTCGGACAGATGTAGCTTCGGAGGGATTCTAGTTTGAGCCTCTGGATCGGAGTCCCCCCCACATCCATTCGACTTCCGTTCCCATCACGGAGGAAGAAAGGATATCATATACTGGGTACCTCGGTCAGCGAAGACAGAAAGGAGCTACTGAAGCCAGGTACCGCGGAATCTCAATCCACAGCGAGTTTCCGTCCGACGGTAACGTGCCCCGACTGCGAACAATCCACGGTCAAGTCTACGACTCGCATGTGCCCACCTTGTTCTGAGCGGGAAGCTACTGGCTTATGTTGATAACATTATCATCACCGCGCTATCTTCATGTTCTGGGTTTACGACGTTGTCGTTATTATTGCAGTTGTTCCTCTGGTGGTTGTTCCTTCTTGGAACGAGGAGGCAGCCAGGTAAATAGCTGCCGACAGAGACAGGCCGCTGTATGGATGCTGAGATACAGAAGTGAAGGGCAGCACTTGGCGGGTGAGGAGAGTTGCTCGCTGCAATTTCTCCTCGCGCCTTGCCGTACTCGGGGAGAGCTGCTCGGACATTTACGGCTGTCTGTCGGCTTGTCTCCCGTACGTAACGTACACCAGTAACCTCCAGGGCTAATCGTAAGCGAGCTACGGTGCGGGAAAACCGGCGCCCACGTCAACCGATTAGCGGCTCGTCTGTCTACCTGTCTTGACGGACGTTGCGAGAATTTCCCGAAAGGCCCCACCGAGAGCCTCACCAAGATCCTTCGAGCACAGAAATCGTGCCAATCAAAAGCGAGAAACACTTATATGTCATTTCTTCCTCGAATAAGAATTAATCTTCAATCATTAGGCAGAGGTTTATTATTTCCCTCTCTTCTATTCCAGACTGCAACCCGGGGACGTGCGAGCCTATCTGAACATGGGTCGTCTCCTGACCATAACAGGGAAAACTGACGAAGCTGAAGAAATCTACCAGAGGGCGAGAAGACTCATACCGACTCCGAACCAGTCTCTGACGAACCGAGTCACAGTCACGCAATCCCACCTGCAAGTGTTCCTCAACCTCGCCGTACTCATCGCTGCCAATGAATCGCGGGTCGAAGAGGCGGATTATGTAAGTCAGATTAATCTAATCTCTGAAAAATGTAGTCCAAGGTCGAGGCGCGAGCACGCGCTCACGCGCCCGGAGTCCTTGTGTGTGCTGTGAACGACTCGCTCTGACATTCGCTGGCCAGGTACGCATTAAGCTGATTTGCGAACTGCGATGGACTTGGACCCTGAAAATTGCCGTCGGGCTGTATCCAGGAACGATTTGAATCCGTTTGTGGAGGCGGCATTACGGAACGCTTCATGGAGCGTCGAGTTATCCTGCGGATGCGGAGCTCCATGGGAGCTGGAATAATCCCGCGGCCCGTTTCGATTTGAACGACTATGGTAGTCTTACCGAACAACGTTCCGAGTGCCACGAACCGAAAATCTGGCTGGAGTAGATCTCCACGCAAAACTGTCAAAATCTCTCTGGTCGAGGCGATTCTAGTAAAAGAGACGCAATTTCATCATTCCGGTCCATTCTCGGAGATTCTAATAAATGTGTCTCTTTGACGAGTCCCAGACGTCTTGAATTGTCGAGACGGTCTTCACTTCATATTTCTGGCATCCTTCTCGCTGCGCTCTCACCGTTCTAAGGGATCCAGCCTCTGCCCTCATTCCGAGTACGACCTCTCGGAGCTTAATCCACGCCATTCTGAGAAAATGAGTTTCGTGCATACGACTCTTTCATTCTCGGAAGCTTTGGAGGGCACGTGAGGGACCTTCAGGCGGTACGCTGTTTGCGGACCAATCTACCCGAACAGGAATAGCTGACACGATTCCACTTGGAATCGGAGTACGGCGACGAATTTTTAAGCACTTCAATGGCTACGAGTAGAAAGGATTCAGGGCCCACATAGACGTGCTTTCTACCCAACACTCGGTCCCGAGTAGTGGGGAGTCGTGTCAACATCTAATTCACCAGTCTCGTGATTTTCGTCGGCTCTAGTCGATTTTCGACGCAGCCGTGTTAGGGAGCTCGGAGAATCTTCACCGGACGACGGCGTCGTAACCTTCATTCGTGAGATCTCGTTCTCACACCTGTTCGCTCGATTCAGGCTGCCTTTCACTTCGTTCCCTGCATGGGAGCAGCGTTGGGTAGAGGTGCCGTATCGAAGTTCACCTTTGCTCTTTGACAGCCCGGGTAAAACGACCACGTTGGTGGCAACGGCGATGATTAAGCCAGAGCCCCGTGTTGACAGCATGCTTCCTGGTTAAGTTTGTACTACATAGTTTTTGCTCATTACCCATGCCGTTGGCCCGTTCCTAGCAGCTCCTGTCGCCTTCGGTGTTCCGATCGTCCACGTAGTCTACGGTGTTTCGTCATCATCGACTACGCTGTCGTGGGTTGGCTTCCCTCATCCATAGCTTTGTAGCTTGAAGTCTGCCTTCTGGTGCTGCTGCCGTCGCGAGTACTTCCGTGGCGTGCAGCAATCTACTCGATTCTAATTGGCCTCTCCGTACTTGTCGTCGCTGTCGATGCTGTTGTTGATGCTCGCAGCGTTTTGCAGTGGTCGTTGCGGTAGGGGAGCTGCTGTCGGTGGCAATCTCGACGGCAATCCTACCCGACGAGCGATTGAAGCAAGGCAGAGAATAAGGGAGGCGAACCGAAAAGCGGCCTCGCAGGCAGAGGGCAGGCGGCTGGGCGACGGAGCAGCTCATCAAGGACATCTGCCACCACGGGGAGGTGTTGTTGTCACCGCTCCCCCCCCCATTGCTGCCGTTGTGCCCCCCGTCCGTCCCCTTTCGCCGTTACCGCATGATTAGGAGAAAACGAACGTCGCTCCATTAGGCAGCTGTCGACGAACTTTGGCCCAGAGTATGTGTGTTCATGTGCTCGTCGCGTTTGTCTCTGTATGTGTTTTCGGCTGTGAGTACGGCGTTCGTCTCGCTTTGTCGAACTCTGGGCGCGAGCGGATGCTCTCGCGGTCTTAGCCTTTATTTAACGCGGTACATTCATGGAGCTCTTCCCCCTTGATATTTCCGTCGCTTCTTGGTTTTCCATTCAAAACACCAAAGATAAAGGCGGATGGAATCGGGGTCGTGTCTTCGCGTCGATATTCCCTCTCTCAAAAAAGCAAGAAAAGGAGTGCGCTCCTCTCCGGAAGGACGACCGTGCCAACGTCGGCTCTGAAGGCCACGGACTCATCGGATGTTCCATTCCAGTTGTTACGCAAGCTCATCGAGCTCCGATCCGACTTCACCGACGCGTACCTCACGAGGGGAGACTTCCTGATGCGACACAATCGAACAACCGAGGCCGTTCGAATGTACGAGAAGGCGGCTTCCATCGATAAGGACAACCCGGATACGCATTACAACGTGAGTACTTCTTCTTCTGATGTGCTTTTCCCACCTGTACACTCGCTCAGAGTAACGTATCGACTGAAAATACTGGGGCGTTGTTTCACGGGTCCGAAGAAGAACGAGCGGCTGAAGCTCGCCCAGTCGGGAGGAAACGCAGGGTTTTTTCTATTCTAGCCGGTCTCGCTTGCTCGTAGTGGGGTAATTTCTCCTTCGCGTGAAGGAGAGGGAAATAAATGTTCGGTAGGCATTCGCTCTCGTTTGTCTAGCTCTCGTGTCTACTACCCGGCGAGTAGCGTGTTGTCAGCAATGATGACGCTTCTCCCTCCCTTAATTGGGTTAACGAGAGCAATAGCAACGGCCTACCTGCGTCTATGGCGACACGTTCGTGCTCACAACAACCGTGGCTGACTGAAACGGAGGCGGTCGCGTTGCGTTCATCCGGGAGAACCGAGAGTCCCATATTTTGTACTGACAGATCGAATGGAGTGTCACTTCGCTGACACGGGTCGTTTTCAATGAAATTCCAGCTCGCGGTGATGTTCATGGACCAAGGCCGTAACGAAGAAGCTCTCTCGTTATTCATCAAAGCGCTGGAACTCGACCCGATACACGAACCGTCACTTGTCAACTCGGCCCTCCTCCTTCAGGAATCGGGGCTCACGACAACACATCCGGCCATCAACCAGAGGTATGAGGAATATGCGGATGGAAACGACCATTATAATTTCGCGATCGGAAATCGTTGGGTCCCCTGGCTCTCCTTCCCGGTCCTCTGGCTCTCCATTCTCGGTTCCTGCATTTCCGAACCCGAGATTTTCATCGGAGGGGAAGTTGGTCTATTTTTTCCACAAAAAAACGCCATATTTCAGAATCCAACTGATGCAGCGTGTGGAAGCCCAGAGCCCCGAGAGGAGCTACTTCAACCTGGCGATGTTGGCTCTCGACAACAAGGACTTCGCCACGGCGGAAGACAATTTCCGAAAGGCTATCGAGGTATGTCACGGAGATTTATTTTTCTTGCAGTCTAAAAATGGGAAAATACACTCGATATCCGGCCGCAACGACGGAAGATCGTGGTTTCGAGCGCAGTATTCCCTTGTCGAAACGAGTTTCGACCGCGACCGCGGGTCCGGCCCGTTCGTGTGCGACATATGATCATCATATTCCTAACCGGCCGAAGCCAGACAGAATGATAACAATATTCATATTCACGGGAGACCCATGCGGTGGGCTCTTCGACTTTTCTATGTGGTAGTTTTTAATCCATAAAGGCACATAATCTGTCTGCAGATCAAATCAGATATGCGGAGTGCGCTGTTCAACCTGGCGTTGCTTCTATCGGAACAGCAGCGCCCTTTGGAGTCGATGCACTATGTGGAGTCTCTCCTCAACCACCATCCGTTCCACATCAAGGGACTGCTGCTTCTCGGGGACATCTACGTCAATTACCTGAGGGACCTGGCATCGGCCGAGGAGGTAAATATTTGACAAGGGCCCGCGTAGCATAGCTCGACGACGACTGCGGCGGCGGCGACAACGACGGCGATCATATCGGCTGGCTGGCGCGCGTGCTGGTCCGCAGGCCCACCGGCCATTCCCTGCACGAGAACAGGCTCGAGTTCGCGGTGGCCGTTGCCGGATGCTGCTGGGTCCGAAACGGGCCGGCGATCCGACGACCTTCGCTCAGAAAAGTCAATCACTCAATCAATCGTTCAATCTGTTTCCCGCAGTCCTCGTTTTGACGGCGCCGTCTCTTCGTTTCAGTGCTACCAGAAAATCCTTTCGGTCGACCCCAACAACGTCAAAGGCTTCCACAATCTCTGTGTCGTGTACGTCGAACGCGGCGAGCTCAGCCGGGCCGAGGGCTGCTTCCGTCGGGTCGTGTCCCTCGACCCGAACGCCGAATACGTTCAACGGCACTTGCAAGTCACTCAGACGCTGCTCAGAAACAAGTCGGGTCTCGAGCCGAGCACGGAGCAGCTCCTTCAGCCTCGCTTCGTCACCCACGTCAGCTATCGCTGAGAGCGATCGATGGGCGGGCGATTGGTTTGCGGATCAATCAGAAACTCGAGAAGACGGCGGGCATTTGTTATGTCGAACTTATTAGTCCACAGTGTATAGGCCAAATGACATCGACGGACGTTCGAACACCGAAAAGGAAGGCAGGATTCAAAGTGTAATAGGAACGGCTGCTCCCCCTGGGTAGAGGGAGTCGCGCCCGGGGACTTCTGTTGCCCTCCCCGCGGTCATGTTCTCGGTCGCAGCACCTCGCTTCGGAAAAACGAGAAAATCTAAGGCAAGGAAGCCTCTCCGATCGTATTTTTCTGCGTGTTCGTGATCTTCTTGGAAATTGAGATGCGTAATCTTCCGTCGTGACGGTAGCGGTCTACGTTTCGAGAATTCTTGGTTTCCAGCCTTGAATTCTCCCATCGGAAATGCCGCCGATCGCGCCAAATGTTCATATTATCTCTCGTACTCGGTGTGTATATATTTGTGAATACTGCGAATGTAAATTCTATTTATTGATGGAAGAGAGCGAGTGAAATACGGGAGAAAGAATTGACTCCATATTGATATTCTGATATTAATAAAAGTTATATATTTCTAAATGTGATGAAGATGCACCTAACAGGACTGTGTTGTCATTGTTCCTAAATAATTAGCGGAACTGGCACTAAAACCATCCCCTCAAGTGGTCAGGTGGAGCTCTAGTCCGAACAATTAGCTCTTCATGAAAGTTCGTCCTACTCAATTTATGATTGAATTTTCCCAACGTGTGCGATGCGCAAAAGCTACGAAAATAGAACGGCGCAGAAACCAGTCAGTGCTCGGAATATTTTCTGATGCTGGGCTCGAGCTCGCGACCTTCCCGGAGTCTCCCGGAGCACAGAGTCTCTTTCCGACCCCCCGGACCGTCTTGGCTACGAGAGCGGGCATTTTCGGCGCATTTCCGCCGATCTCGCCCGATAATTTCGAAGCAAGGCATGGAGCTATGGCCTCCTGATCGGTTTCGCTTTTTACGTGAAATTCTCCCAACGTGGTGCCCAGCGTGGCCTGGAATCGCAGAGGATTTCTTCCCGGAGGTTTGGATCCGACCGATCAACTTCGACCGAATTTGCTCCAGCCATAAAATTGTGCATAACTGTGAAAGCTTCTGGGAAGACTCGACTCACGTTTGCCAGAACGGTAAGCACCCACGACTGGATGAGCGTTTCCGTCTGACTTTCTTGCCCGCTGCCTGATTCTCAACGTTCTTATGGAACCCGCCATAAGCATAGAAGCTCTGAATCAATCAGCTCTTACGTCCTAGCCGATCCTATCCAGACTAGCGGAGCAAGTTACAAACAGGCTGCGGGACACGCGAACCTACTCGCCGCTTTCCACCACTACAGAGGCATTGATTCCACCGTTTCGCTTTTTCCCTGATTGGAGATGTTCCGGGATCCACGTCTCGCAGAGCTTGTTTCCCAGCAATTCAACGGCTCCCTAGCGCGAATATATGCCAAGCCTACCTCCGGCGGCACCTTCGACCGCAACAGTTATACAAGTCCCGGTGGTGGTCTGAGCGGAGCAGCTCGCAGCTCTCAGTCACGCGATGCTGTCAGATTTTGTGTTCGATGAATCGCAAGAGCGTCTTCTATTTAAAGTTTGAGCAGATCTCTCATACATACCGTGTTCCGCTCGTTGCCTGATGAACGACGACTATTCGGAGCTGTTCCAAAATCAAAGCGAAGCCTTGTTGGTCGCATCCATTCTTGATTTCGGAACCGTCCTGAATAATTCGAAATGCATGTAAGAGCTGAAAAATTTCCTCCCTCATCCTCAGACGGCCTCCATTGTGACGAAAATTCCCGTAAATTTTTGACGTCGGGATGAAACGAAAGCTTCCCGGGATGCGATTCCGTCGCAGTCTGCCATAATTGCGTTTCGGAGAATCGTTTGAATGAAGATGTAACTAGCTGGAGGGGAAACCGACCGCAGTGGAAAAAAGCATGATGGAAAATTTTGATTGAAGGCTCTGCGACTGAATGAGGCCGAGTTTTCTTTATTGAATCTCTGCGCCAGAACAATCACTCATCTTCCCATGCTCCTCAATAAATAGATAGAGTATTCGCCTAAAAAGATAACGAGAATCACGGATCCTGGATTGAAACGAGGAACTCGACCGCAACTCACATCGATTCTCTAATTCGTCACCGCTACGCTGACGAAACCCGGAACAGAAAGAAGCTGCCCAAAGAGTCGTTCAGTGATACTGACAGCTCTGAGCGCGATATGTTTCCTTCGAGCGTATCGAGCATCTTCTCATGAATTCAAAAATTCGAGCGGAAGTGCCACCGAGGAGGAAAACGAAAGGTCCATGACATGCGTAACACAGAAGAAATCCCAACCAGATTCGTTGGTTTTCGAGCTTGTTCGCCACCAGCCCCAACAGAATCGTAGGAGCTACAAGGTTCGCCAAGAGCACAGCGAAAACCACGTTCCGGAATTCCAGACTGGCAACGCTCCGGAGCACGGTCACCTCGCTCTGACTTCTCCACAGGCGCAAGATGCTCAAGAATATACAGAAATTCGCCACCACAGCGTAGGAAACCGCCGGTAAGAACGCGTACCAGCCCGTCGATGACGATGAAAGCAAAAAGCACAATGATCCACATCCGGAGCAGCCGCGAATAGAAAACGTGCTGGATTGCCATAGGAGCACCAACAGCGTGCAACCGGCGCTCACGCTTGAGAATAATAACGTGTACAAAAGGTAGCCGACGAATGTTTTCGGGGTTTTTCCACTGAGCACGGAGGTGTGTTGCAATCTGTATCGCACTTCGCTGAGGAGAACATTACTCCAGGCAAAGCTGGCCGTAGTGCAAAAGTGGAATCCAAAACCGATGAGAAAACAGAGAATTCCGTCGGGACAACCGCGGCTCGATAAAGATACGTAAGAGAGGAATTGACCGCCTAAAATAGCTGATACGAGACAAACTGTGATTTCCCCAACGTACGTGTACCGACAGCTCGATAGAGCTCTGACTGAAAGTTCCCTCCTTCGGTCGGGGATCAGGGAGCTTAGGAGAAGGGTTGCGAGCAGGAAAGCGAGAGAGATATGGATGAAGGGGAATTTGCTTTCAAGGGAATTGAATGCCGCTGGCAAATTCGAAGCATAGGCGGTAGCTTCCGAGCACCGACTTTCAGAATACCTGGGGACATGAATACTACGACACATGGATTTCCAAGGATCGTAAATCTGATTGTCACCCTCACAAGGGTTATCGTCACCGGTCGAAGGGACAATCAGGGGAAACCTGTCGGCTTCGTGCTGGTCCGGGACGATGCTCCGATCGGGGACATTAAGTATTTCTGCGTCGAGAGGACACGACAAGTCACCCGGTAAACGACGCTCGCAGAGAGCGCAGAACCTGTTGCGGTAAAAAAGTTTGTCGCAACCGGATGCGTTCAGATCCAGAGTGGGCAAATAGATAAGGTCGCACATTATGGACAACTTGTTTGCGACGTCGGCATTGGGCGCCTCGATGGTGGAGCTTTCGTTGGCGCTTATGACTTTGCAATCCAATTTGGTCGAGTCGGCATAATCAACATATGGATTACATCGGCGAGCGAACTGTCTCCGCATCCTGAGTCCGTTACCGTAGGGGAACAAACTTTTCGGAGGCATCGTGACGAAAGGACAGTCCAGCGCTCGATCGGCCCGCTCCGTCCGGTCGTCTCGCGGACACTGAAGTTCGACCCGCCAGAACTGGACATCGTCGGCGTCGTCATGACATCGAGCGCAGAAAATGTTTTTATATGTCACCAGACTTTTACGAGATGTCACTGCGACTCTCAGCAACGGGTCGGTCGCAGCGGTGGAATCCGACGCCGAGCAGAGCTCATCGAGAGGGCTGGTGGGCCGCGAGTGTTCGTCGTCGTCGTCGTCTTTGTCGACTGGGGAAGGACACTGAGCCACCATGAAATAGGCCAAGCCCGACTCGGTTCGAACACAATGGAGCCAGGTCAGCCGGTCGCGCGAATATTCAATAGCGCTCAGTGAACCGTAGTCTTTTTGGAGTTGACTGATCTTATCCCAACAACAATCGCCGTAGTGCACGCACTCGTCCTCACACGAGCACCGCACCACCTCGTCGACGTCGTCGTCCTTGTTCACTTCGTTGCCGTATAGGTTGTCGACGAGATCCTCTTCGCTCGAAATATCGCAGGAGAACTGTTGATCGTTACAGTTGAGTTTCTGCGAGAAGGTCGCGTTTTGGGCGAAGCAATGCGCTATTCTTCCGTCCGAAAACGTGGAAGGGCTCGAGACGTTCCAGACCGAAGAGTGAGCGTCGGCAGACACATTGTCATCTCCGGGATGGGCATTGTCGCTTCCATTTCCGTTGTCCAGACTGTTATTGTTGTCGTCATCGGGGTCGGGGAAACGGTCGAGGCTCCGTCGATTCCGCTTCTGTCGCCGGCTTTCTGGAGCGCTCGGGGACGATTGATTCCAGAGGAAGGCCTTTTCGAGAACAGCGAATCGCTGCTGGAGAGGTCCAGGGTCGTTACGGTGCAGGAAGGCTTGCTTCGGTGAAGTGCTGATCCTGCGCAGAATTAGCGAATCGCTGGAATTCTTGCGCACTTCACCTGCTAGCCGAAAAAACGACCGTGGCGAGTCTGCGGTGAGCTCAGGCTCAGGGTCGCCGTCGCGGCCCGTCCCCCATTCGGCGGGTCCGGTGGCGGGCGGTTCAGTCGAACGTCTCACGGTGCGATCTCCGATACGGTTACTGAATCGTATCACTGGCGGCGGGACTGTGCTGGTACTGGAGGGTAGAGGGATCACGATACGATACGCTGACCTCGTAGAAGTGCTCGGAGTGGAGGAACTACTCGGAAGAGTGCTCCCGAGTTCAGGCGCGATCGACGAAGATTCGGTGGATCGCTTAGGCACGGATAACACCGGTGAAACCGTCGGGACGAGCGTGGCAGGGGATGCCGATTCGTTTGTGGGTGTAGGCATGCTGTCAAGCTTAGAAATTCGATTCCCCGCGGGTCCTACGAGCGACGGCGTCGGCGGCATCGGCGTTCGGAGCTCAGGTGACGAGGCAGAACTCGCGTCGACGTCGTCCTCGCCTAATCCTCGATCGAGGGGGATCGACGGGAACACTTCGTCCATAAATTCATCCTCATCTCGAATGCTCCGACCCTGCTCGTCGACGAACACTCCGCGCGGTATGTCTTCCCGGGATCCGTCTATGACGAAGTAACGCGGTTCTCTCGGCCTCACCACAAACTGCTTCCCGTAGAATGCGGGTCGTCCGCTCGGGCGCGGCGGCCGTGGCGGAATCCGATGAGCGGGAATAGGTTTTGCGAAAGTCGGCGAACCGTTGAGAACAGGCCACACCGCATTGGGCAGCCGATGGTTGTACATGGGCGGCGGATTGTAGAGAATCGATTGCATTATCAGGTTGTTGGCGATTTGGCGCTTCTTCTCTAGCTCAGCGCCGGCGTCGCTCCTGACGTTGCTTCGGGCGTCTCGACGTTTTCCGAAAGCTCCGGTCAACAGTCCGAGGAGCATCTTGTAATTGGCTCCTCCTCCGACCAGAGCTCTTCCGAGAGCCTCGTCGTCGCCGACTGAGTTCGGATCGAGGTCGAAGCCGATGGGCTCGAAATCCATGCGGCGTCCTATACGGCCGTCCCGTTCGCGCTCGTTCTGGTTATCCGCGCGGTCTTCCGCGGAGAAATCGTAAGAAGGTCTCCGGTCGCTCGGTTTCTCGACGGTCAAGACTGCGGACACTTCATCGCTGTCCTTCGCTGCGATATCAGGATGGATGGGAGAACTCGACACCTCATCGATCGCGACCGGAACTTCTGTGGGGGGGATCGGTGTCACGATGAGATATCCTTCATCCGAAATCGCATCATCGGTGCTATTGAAATCCGTGAACGATCGATTGAAACCTGTTGAGCCCGAAAATGCGTCGTCGATAAGCTCCGGCTCCGGCCTTCCGTCGGATAGCGCCGCGCCCCCGACGACCGGTTCCGTAAGATCTGCTGAATCCGGGTCGAGAGCCTTCGGAGTTCGGGGTCGCTTCGGGGGCTGAGCGGCTTGCAGGAGATTGTTGCTGTTTAGGAAATGCATCATGGATCGGATGGTGTTTGATATATTCGGAGTCTGGGCCAAAATATTTTGATTCTGTTGTGCGGCCGGTACCGGTGGCTTTTTCTTCTTTTTCTGCGTCTTCGACTTCTGTGAATCGCTCGGGACTTTCACCTGCTGCGCAGAGAGCTTCTCTTTGGGCTTCGACGGCGATGTGGACGACAATGCCGTCGATGACATTAGCGTGTTGTTGCCGCGTATCGGCAGGTTCTGGTAACCGTAGAAGGGTGCGGTGTTGACTAGATGAAAGTGCGCCGGAACTTGATAGTAGGGCACCTGATACTGTTTCTGTGGTGGCTGCTGCGCTTTGACCGGTGGCTTCTTCGCGGTGTCTTCATTGACAACGACCGTTTTCGTCGGTGGCACGGAGTAAAACGCCGGAGCTGGCCGGTGGTTCAGGAGTTGTAATAGCGGGATCAGATTGCCGAGCGCCGCCAACGGATTGAGCGGCGGCGGTGGCGGCGGCAGAACAATTTGCGGTCTTTGATATGACGCCGACGCTACAAACGAAGTATTTTTACTGAGTTGTGGTGGTTCCTTTGTGACTGAACCGCTTTTGAGGACTTGTCGGCTGTTTGATGATTTTTTCGGCGACGTCTTCCGCTTCTGAGACCTGGCTGTCGATGTCTCCAGAAAAGGTGCAGGGGTCATCGGAACTTCGGTGGTGGACTGTGAACTTCCGTCGTTGGATTGTTGTAAGTCCAGATCGAAATCCTCGAGGCTGTCGGATACGGTTTCAGCTGAGGGTTTGGCCGTTGTTGTTGTCGTTGTTGTCGACGTGGTGGTCGGGGACGATGCTGCTGTGGAGGTCGCTGGAGCTTTATGGCTCGAGGATAGTTTGCTAGGAGAAGAGGACTTTGATGAGTTGCTGGTGGTCATCTCTGCAAATGAAGCGAGGTGAATGTTTGCAGGTGGATGAGGTCGGTGCAAAAACTGGTCCTCGCGCAGCACCATGCTCCGAGCAACGAGTATCAACGGCGGTCGCTTACTTTTGGGCGGCTTCCGCTTCGTTTCTCGATGGTGCACGAGTTGAGAGACCGGTCGGACGATGCTCTCTGACGCCCCGTCAAAGTCGTCCTCATTGTCCTCGTCAACGGGATACGATGGTTTCCTGTCGGAGGGGCTTCGTGAAACAAGAGGGTATATTTTTTTGGCGGGATGGGGGAGGGGGAAGCCGGGAATTCCTTCCCGTCGAGATGGAAAAGGTCTGTCGAGAACAAGACTCACTTGGCTCTTTTCGAGAGGACCGAGTTCCATTTGTCTTCGTGAGAAGTGGACTTTTTCTGCTGGGACTCGCTTTCTGGCTTCCGTTTCGGGGGTTTGAGGCGCTTCTGGTGGGTCGTTCCCTCTTCCGAGATCGATATCGGCGGAGCTGTTGTGAGAACTATCGAATCTGAGGAGGGCGATCGGAAAACATTCGTTCATCGTCGACATTTCTCCCTTTAGGAATTTCTCGCTCCCGGTCGTACAAGAAGCAATAAAGTGCCCACGGTTGGTCTACATCCGAGACAATGCCGGCGAGATCACTCCTCTCAAAATTTCGATTTCGCTCCTTGGCTACTGCCTAAATCAAATGGGGTCAAATGGCAGCCCACTGATTCGGCATTCGATCTTACCTTTAGAGCCGCTGATGCCCTTTATTAGGTGGCGCGCAATTTCCGTATGTTGTTCGGAGCTCGTTTCCCCGCCGGTAAGTGGCAATCGTCCGATATCTTCGTCAGCGTCCACTTCTAAGGGTAAGTGCTCCTGTTGTTGCTGCTGCTGTCGTTTACGATGGTAGAGGTTGAGGGCAGCTAACTGATCCAAGATCTTTTTGGTCTTCTCATCCATAAGCAGACCGTCGTCGACATTGTCGACGTCGTCGTTTCCACCGTCGTCGTCAGTGGTATCGGTGTCGTCGAATGCCTCGAGCTGACTTTCGGTCGAACTTACCTCGAAGTTTTGATGTTTGTCAATCGAACTACTTCCCGCAACAACAGAAGGTGAAGAGTTCGACTCTTGCGCGGAAGTTGACGGAGCCGTTGTCGTCGACGTAGTCGACGTCGTAATCAACGGAATCGATGTCGTCGGATGCGTCGCCGCCAATTTTGTTTTGTGCTGGTGTTTGTCGTTGCCTTTCTGGCCGACATGCGTTTTTCGATTTGGCTTACCACTTTGTGCGCCTTTCTTCGGAGCCACGTTGCTGAATGTTATGCTCCAGTCGCGTGCGCGAAGTGGATCCGACTCGGAACGCCTCTCCGCATCGACGACGTGCGGAGATTCGTGCGATGCCGCCGTTGCTAGAGAATCGGCTCGAAACTCGGCTTTCGGGAAATCGACGTTGCGAAGTTTCCCGATTCGGCTCCGCAACGAGTCCAGATACGCAGACGCTCCAAATATTTTTTTCCCTCATAGCTGTAATCTTCGGGAAGGAGTTCTCCGATTCGCTTATCGATGACAGGTGTTGTCGTCGTCGCCGCCGCCTCCGACGGCACCGCCGCAAAGTTCAACTTTCCGGGATCCAACTCCAAGCGTTCCGAGACCTTACTGACGGGATGTTTGGATTCTCTGGTCGTCGTCTGAGAAGCGATCTCCCAATCTCTCGGCTCCAAGCGGGGTTTGGGGAGCGCCTTCGCGGTGTGAACTGTTGGCGAGGTCGTCACAACAACTCCCATCTGTCGGGCAATCCTCACCAGAGACTCGTGCGAGTACGGATCGAGCTCGACGTCGTCTCCGACCTGCTCCTCCAGTCGGAGCTCATCGAAATCCGGTTTCCGATCGCCTTCACGTTCCACAGCGGCTCGACTCGATCTTAGGAGCGGGAGCAGGGTGACGGTCAGCAGGAAAAGCTTCATATTCAGAAATTCATTCGGGTCGTCTCACTTGTGGCCGTCGTCGCACGCACTCTTCTGACACTACGAAGGTAATCAGCTGATTCTTAGCCCCGACGTCGGGAAAAGTCGCTGCGAGGGTGGAAAGAACGGGGGGAAAGTGACTATGGTGGCTTCGAGGCGGACCGGGGAAGCGATGAATCAGTCTCATCTGCAAGACAATATAACACCGTCGACGGATGCGAACACGTGTGATGTGGAGCGACTCGGGTTCAGATATCATACTCACTCCTCGGGAGCGACGGCTCGTGTTCGAAGCCCTGATCTGTTAGACTGGAACCGGATGTCGGAGGCGGACCACTGCCGAGCGTCGAGTAATCGAGAGGTATTTCGGTGACTTCACCAACAGGAACTTCCTCACCGTGGAGAGATATTAGGAACTGCAGGACATACGGCGGAGCTATTCCCCGGAGCGAGATCCGGGCTCTGTTCTTTGATCTAAATATAAATTCAGGGACTTTCATCAAGACCTCTATTGTCCTTCCGAGTGCCTCGCGGGAATATGTAAAACCACTGTCCGGCTAAGGTCCGGACCGAACCATTCATTTCTTGGGAAATCCATGAGGAGGGCCCCGCCAAACGCCTCGGAGAATGCTTGTTCGGATCTCCGACTCCGAGTACCGCGAGTCTCTATGCTGAGTCTTCGATACCCCGTCCTCGGGGCCGCTCGGAGCCGCTTCTGAAACCTGACGTTCGCCTACGTTCGGATATTCTATCTCTCCCCGTCATTACCTAAGGGAGTATGATGTCTAATATGCAGCGGGTAGAAGAACGCAGCGACTATTTTTGATGATAGCTCTTACGAGATGCTCACGTTCACATACGTCGCGTCCATACGACGGTCTACAAGCTTTGCATGTCTATTTCGAGAATCCGCCTCACACGGCATTAACAGAATTTCTAAATCCGTCGCTCTGCGCGGATAGACAGACTCTGATAAAAACAAATCGCGACCCGGTAGCGATCGGTCCCCTTCTTTTGAAGGAAACGATCCCCCTCGGGAATTCATACGAGCTAAATCAAAACGGGCAGACCGAGACCGAGAAGTTAGTCAAGGAAAGGATTCCGCCATCCTCATCGAGGCAGAGATTTGAGGCTTCTACCCTCGCAGTTTTTTAATCAGAAGCGATGCCCCTTCGGGAGTAGCGGCTTCTCCTAGCATTGCGATTTCCCCCCAACGGCGCGCCGTCGAAGATTCCGGGAATCGAGGGAAACTGCCCAAATCTGAGAAAAGGAATTTATTCCCTGCTCAGAGACACGACTGAAAGTCAAACACAAAGAAGGATGCTTGAGGGTCTGAAGAATGCTCTCGAGCTCTCGCAAGTTCGTTTTTTCCGGATGCTATTCATCACGATGAGAAATTATTGACCGAGGAGGCTAGAGTGGTAGGCGCAGCTGTAGTTGTTATGTTCGAAGCAGCTGTCCCATCTTTGGAGTTCGAGGGAGCCATTTGAATGATAATTATTATGTACGACAGCAGAGCACCGCCCATCGTCAAGATGAAATTCCTCGAAAAGTTGAAGAAGCTCCAACCTGTAATTCGATAACATTCGTCAGTCGCGGCTTCGATAATAATGAGACAGTTTATTGTTCGATGGTGACTCGAGTGATTCGTTGCTAGCGCTTGAATCGCTGTGATCAGCCTTGCGTGCGGTACCGTGTAATCAGGTTTTGGAAGCGAGATTTCTCCGGCGGGACATCGACCGCTTTCTTGGTGGGCACCCATACAGAATGGGAAAGTCGATTATGATGCAAATTCGAGCTTATTGTGCGTGGCTATTGGTGGGCTTGGCACATGGATGCGAGTCACTCACTCACCGCTCATTGCCACTTCTGGTTTATTCATTTGGGCCACAAGAAGATGCGCTTGGGAGAAAAGCTCCAGATTCTCATCGGTTGGAGGATGGTTTATCATACGGTGAACGAGCATCGTACACGAATGAGCGGTTTCGGTGAGCTTCGCTCCGAATATCGACAATGACAGGAACAGAGCGAAATAATGCATCAGGTTGATGAGCAACAGAAGAATTTCATTGGGACCGTCGAAGTCTGGATCAGTGGCTCGGCCATTGAAATATCTGCGAAGAGATTCTTTAGCTTTGACGGAACACGGTCGCTCCTGAAGCGCGCGTGTGAAAGTGAAGAACGAAGGAGAGCGTGTCTCTTCCCTGAGCAGGAAATGGGATTTCCGATATGAAGTAAAGCGCGAATGGAACACTCTCATGCGTTGGCTTCGAGGACACGGAGGACGTCCGTCTCGGCAATTACCCCGCGGAACAACTGAGAGGGGGAGAACAGCGAGCAGAGGGAATCCTAATGAGCTTACCTGGTAACTTCCAAACAAACCCCGATGACGAATAAAGCCGTCCAGAAGAATGCTGTCTTTTGGAAAAGATCATCACATTTGAGGACGCATTTGCTTAAATTGGATTGCAGTCTTCTCAGAGCTTGCAGATCGCTCAAACTCATCTGAAACACAACGAACATATTGGAAGCTCGAACTCATTCCCCATTCTTTGCCGGAATCCAGGCGGCAACTCCTGATATCCCTCAAGCAACGTCGATACATCGTCCATTATTATTATTCCCTCGGGGCTACTCGCTGAATAATCGCTAGAAGTCACAAGACCCCGCATCCGATCGTTTTCGAGGATTCGCTCGATGGTCGCTCTCTATCAGATGACCACTCCGGTGGGACGATTCGCTGTGGTGGCGCCCGAATATCAATGCAGGGCGAAGCGGATACATCGTCCGATGGAATTTTATGTCGGCTGAGCAAAACTGAGAGATAATCACCCGCTCCGTCGCTCGATGCACGTGGAATCTCGAACAGCGGCGACGTTCATTTCAGTTCATTTGAGATGCGTGCACCGTTGAAGCTCCCTCGGTCGTCACTCATCTCCGCGCGGTTGATACGCATCTTGAGACTATTACTCCACGAAGCGAAGGACCGTGGTTCATCCTGCGTTGCCTCGCTATATCGATGTGTCATCAGGGTACCCACATTCATCGTGTGTCCCAAACTCCGAACGCGTCGATTCCGCTGTGATTGAACTCATCAGCCCACGAGCACCATTTGGGATCTCTTACTTGATCCGGGAGCACGGCGCCCGAGACGCGTCGGGACTGCGACAGTCGAAGCCGTCTACCCCCCCGATAACCTTTCATGCTACATCAGTCGACTTTTGGAGCGGCATTCTTCGATTTCCTTCCCATCGATGAATGTTTTTACCGTAAAAAAGTACTTCCCCCCCCCCCCCCGGACTAGAAAATGCTGGGCATGCCCCTGCGGCACTGTGATCCAATTGTCGGTGGAACTATGGAGACATATAGCTCCGCATCGATAACTCACCAATAATTTCGAGTTTTGGGACTCTGCCACCCGTTGTTGAACTATCGTATTGTAGCAGGCGAAGAGATGCTTCTGATAACTCACGGCACTCAGATAGAAGGCGACCTACGCAGGAGAAGATTATGCTCTGATATCCGTTTCCATACGCTACCTCTGAAGACTCAGAGATGATCGAGGCAAATGTTACGAAACCGTTCAATTACCAAATAAAGAGCCGACGCAAACATGAGGGGGATTCGTAGGACGACGTCGACGCACAGCAGGATCGATACAGCTTTATGGTCCCACGGTTCGAGGGTGATTCCGCACCAATGCCGGACTTGATAATCGTGGTAGCCGTGTTTCGAGAGGAGGATAGATCGCAATTCGATCAGAAGTCGGAACACGGAGTAAAGTGTGCATGACACCGTAGTAGAGATACACGTCCTCCGAACCGTTCTGAAATGTTGGAGCCTCGATATCAGGCTCGAGATCGATGGGACTCGGCCAGGGAGTCGAAGGTCATCGGTGAAAAAATCTGCATATTCCGCACGGAAAATTCGGCGCAGCGTCGAAGCGAACGAGGGAACCTCAGGAGACCGACGGCGAAGGGCCCGAGTAACTCACTTCATCCGATCGCTCGTGATTGGATATTTGCTGAAGTTGCATAGGAGCTGCGAGATCTGGGGCTCGTTGACATAAAAAAGATCGATCGTCAACACGGTCACAGCGTTCCTCATGAACACTGATACAGTTGCCCACAGCTGCCGAGTCCCGATCGCGAAGAACACGGACAAGAAGCTTATCACAAAGTAGAAATGAATAGTGCTCAGCAGGAGAACGCTCCAAAAGGTAACACTCCGCGACCTGGAATCAGAGAGCGCGATCCATCCAGACATCTTGCCGCAACCTATAGCCTCACGGTCCACAATTGAGAACATCGCTCTAAGAGATTTTCAGAAACTTCACCAGAACGAAACCGCGTTGGCTCCGTTCCCCACGCGAACTCGAGCTCACCATTTGTGTCGTTCGTGAGGGTCTGGGATGTCCTCGGAACACTTCAGGAATTTCCCACGCCAGATTCCGACCGCTTTCAAATGAAGCAGAACCACGCTGAATGTCTTGAAAACTTCGTAGCAAGGTCGGTGGTCGCTGACGCTCAGAGCGAGACCGCTCCAGGACTCGCCTGGAAAAACCTTCCTCTTCGAAGACTGTATGGTAAACACCTGACTGCGCGGCATGATTCCAACGTCCGGCCTTGATATGGCTCGTCGAGAGTTTCACTTGACCGACGGTCAGCGAATGAAAAAAAATTCTCCAGCGGATTCTATGCCCCGGTCGAGTTTTACATCCGTCATCACTGATGCGGCACGGTGGGCAGAAGTCGATCGATGCCGAGGCAAGGATGATGAATGAGGCCACAAGTTCAACTATTGAGTACGAAGCCCCTCGCTGACAACGACGGAGGTCGCGATGGAGGTCCCGTGCCGACGAAGGTCGCGATTAGTTTTTTGAACTCACGCCTCATGCTTGAATTGATTCGTTCTATCTGGGTATGCCCTATAGGAGACAGGACCAGATCGTGTTTCGAATGTGATTCGGATGCACGCGGAGCCCATCACTCGCGGAAATGTCGTCCAGAATGTATCTCCCAGGGAATTCTATTCGAAAATTCGCTGGGTTCAATGAGAAAATTTCATTCGAGGAATCGTGCGGTGCTGTGTAAACGTGTTTATTTACAAAGGCCAGCGGCAGTCCCCGAAACCTATTTCCGTTTCCCTTTGCCACCCTTCTTCCGACCCCTGGTTTTCTCCTTGTTCTTCATGGAGCGGAGGTCTTTCTTCATCCTCGAGTCGACGACCTTGTATTTGACGTTGCCCTTGATTTTCGGAACCCTCGTGAGTCCTTGGAACTTCTTCGAAACAACATATTTCACTTCCTTCTTGTCCTGCAGAGGAGAATTATCAGAATTGGGACTCCCTGCCAGTTCGATCATCACATCTCGATACGCGCAAGTTCCAGGTGAGCTGTCTCACTCGAGCATCGCAGGTGAAAAGTGAGATCGGAACGAACCTTTTTGAGAGCCTTCGAGTAGATTTGTTTCAGGTTTTGCGCTTTTTCCGTCTCGCTCATGTCTAGGCTGCCGCAGAGATCCTCAGCTTTCTTGCGGGCCTTGTCCATCCTCTTCATGAAGCGCCGCTTCTTGCGACTCTTCGCTTCGACAACCCTCTTGATCGTCTTGACGTTGACTTCCTTCAAGTCCTCGCGATTCCTCCGTAAGCTTTCGGAGCTGACCTCGGGCAGCTAGGGTTGGATCAAGAGTTAGATTCGTGAATCATTGCGAGTAATCAGAAGCTCTGAACCAGCAATGGGCCACGAATTAAGCCTGACCGTATCTCTACCTTAACGCAGTATTTCTTTTCGTCGTCCTTGAACCACGACGGCAGGTTCTCTCTATCGTCCGACATGTATCGGTGGAAGCCTTCGTTGAAGAGGTCTCTCCGACTCTTCCCGCTCTGGATCAGTCGTTCACCCAGAGCACGACCATAGGCGTCCAGCATGGGGATTCCTTCCTTCTCTTTCTCTTGCATCTCAGTAACGATACCCAGAGCTGCGAGAAGAAGCGGAACCGTTTTAACTCAACACAAGATGATGTGAAGCAAGGGGATAAGAGGATATTTCCCTTTCTAAACTCAGATACGAAGGTCACATACCTTTCTTGATTTGCGGTTTACGCTGTTCTTTCTCCTTCCTTATTTCGTCAAGCTCAGCTTCGATCTCATCGATGTATTGCTGTTTTTCTGTCTCCAGGACATCATCGTATTCGTCGTCTGAAGAATCCACGCCATCCTCCTTCGTCTTCTTAGACTTCTGCTCGTTCTTCTTCTTCTTTTTCTCCTTGAGATCCTTATTTACTTCGTAGCGGACCCTTTTCAAACTCGGAATATCCTCGTACAGATCGTCTTCGTCGATTCCGGTGAGATTGGCGCGGCTACTGAACCACGAAGCGGCCTTCTCTTTCCTGCGATCTTTCTCGGTCCCCATATCGGTCACGATCCGACTCGGATCCACGGTATCCTCGTCCTCGTCCCATTCCATCTGACCATCAGAATCTGAAGCTTCGTCGGCGGTTCGTTTCCGGCTGATAGCCACTCCACTGGTTCCGATCTCCTCCAAGTCAGAATCGTCTGAGAGACAGTCTCCATCCTGCAACTTGCGTTTCCTCTCCTCGAGAGTCTTCAACTGGAAAATATCCTTGTCTTCCTGAACGATCCCCTCGTCTCCCTTGATGATCATCTTGAGATTGAGAGCGTCTCTGGTCTTTTTCAGCTGCCTCAATTTCTTCCGTTTCACCCGCTTCAGCTCTTGCAGGGCGTCTGCGTTCATCTGTTGAACATGCTTGAGAAGCTTCGTCTCCTCGTCGTCTTCGTCCTCGTTGTCGTCGTCCATTTCAACGTCTTCGACGTTCTCCTCCCCGTCTTCCTTCTTGAACTGCTCGTGTAGCTTCCTACGCCATTGGCAGAGAGTCTTCAGGTCTCCCTTCCCGAGAACTTTGATGTCCTTACAGTACTCTTTGATGTCGTCCGTGGTCAGAGGGTGGTTGAGTACTCGCTCTGAGTCCAACAAGATCTCGTGAACTTCCCCTAAGAGTTCCATGAAGTTGACCGATTTGATGAACTGCATACACGGGATGGTTTCGTACATCTTCGCGCCCTCTTTGTACCTGGAGAACGGAAAACCTGTCGTTCAGAAATCCCGCGATATGACGGTGGACCTGTTGGATATCGAACGCGCGAGTGGGTCGAACATGGTCAGCGGCTGCGGCGATATCATATCGAAGAGCAACTCACCCCTCAGCTTTAGGTTTCTTCAGACTGGCGGCGCGCTCGAGAACATTTTTCGCCGCCGACTCTTGGGAGATGTCCAGCTCTTCGAAGAGATATTTAGGATTGAAGAATTTGTCGTCGAGCTTGTCCGGAGCCACAAAACCTTGGCAGACGACGAAAATCTCAGCGGATTCGTGACGAGAGGCTCTCGGTTTGGTCGCCGAAACCTGGAACAACAAGGATTTTATCCAGCGCTATATCCAGCGTGATGTACTCTTCGTCCGAGGCATGCAAACGGTCCTCGAGTCGACGGCATTGACGCCTCGATCCGTGAGGAAATTGGGTCGGATCGAAAACGCCCGCTCGAAAGCCACCAACCTTCCTGAAGAGTTTCTTGAGTACCCAAATGAAAGCATTATAGTCTTTCGATCGGAAAACCTTCGTCACGAACCATCCTCCCTTCACGAGGAATTCAGACGCCAGCTTCGCGGCGTGTAACGATAGACAGATTTGTGCATAGGCATCATGGAGCCAATTTTTACCTGGAACGAGCGTCATGGTTGAGAAAAACAGTTCCCGCAAGACCTTATCACTTCCGACCAACCATCGCACTGATCAATCAATTTATTGACATCGGCAGAACCTCGAAAACATCAACCGTCTCTGTCAGTCATCAGTTCTTGTAATTGAGGTTCCCCTGCATGTTATTCCAGACAAACGGGATCCGGGTGACACTCACCGACATTCGGAGCTCCGTCGTTCAGTACCACGTCGGCCTTCCACGTCTTCAGTTCGGTTCTGAGTGCTTTCCGACATTCTGGGGTAGTTATGTCGTGCGTAAGGCCCACAACATTCGGTATGGGCCGGATCGGAACCAGATCGACTCCCACGATGAGCGACGACGCGGGCATATACTTTTGAGCGACCTAAAGGACGATGAAGACTCTCTTAATGCCTCTCCTTGATTTTTGTTCCTCTGTGGTCCGCTCGAGCGGTGTCAGAGAGAGAGAGCTCACTTGAAGCCATCCTCCTGGTGCAGCGCACAAGTCCACCAAGACCCTGGCTCTCTGGAGAAACTCGAACTTCCGATTCAACTGAATTAATTTGAAGGAAGCTCTGCTGCGGTATCCGGTTTCTTTGGCGAGATGGTAAAACTTATCACGACGCTGCTTCCCTGTCTTGGACTTGACGCCCATCTTTACCCTGGAACAGAACGCGGGAACCAGGCGATGAGTTACTCTGTGCACTCATTGACGCTCAGGGGGAGATTGTCTCGCTGACATTTTCAGTCCCGTTCAGATTTTCGTCGTCTCTGCTATCCGATGTCGTCGGTTCTCACCCTTGCAAGAGGCTAAGTCCTCGATTACGCTTGCTTCGGAAAATTCCCCGCCTCAAAACGAATTCGTCGAGACCAAGTCGACTGCGCGAGGGAACACGTGCATGTGTTATCGAGTGAGGGTCGGGATCTACCGTCGAGCGGACATAAACATAAGTGGTTGACACGGAAGCCGGCGTTCTGTCGCCGCAATCCACATCCGCTAGGTGGAGTCTACCTCCTCAGACAGGAATGAGCAACTACATTCGACAGAAAATCGCTTCTCGTGGGGCATTGAAAATATAGCATTTACCCCCATGGGTGATATTTACCGTGAGTCAGCTCGCTTCAAAGAGAGAGGGGCTTACGAGCATGGTGTTGTGGCGCGGTTTTTGAAAAATCACGGGGAGCCGGGGAACGACGTGGAGTGTGTAGTTGTCAACACTTCTGATTTTTTGAACAGGGGAAATCTCCCGTAGATTTCCACAGAGGCTTGGAATCATTCCGAGTATAGAGCGGATTGGCGTCCCTGATCGTCTGAGTGAGGCGATGCTTCCCGACAGAGATACTGTCTCTCAGATTGACGTTGGCATGTAGTTTCTCGCGGTCATTCGATCATCGAAAAACCTCGAGACAAGTTTTATTGGGAGAGGACGAGAGGGGTATATATACTGAATTTGTAGAGGGTCGCTCTGCGTCTTTTTGTCTCATCTAGACGGCAGGGGTCGGTCGACCAACATCTTCACCGACGGAATCATCTTGATTCCGAGTACCTAGTACCATTTCTGCAGATTCTGGTCCGGCACTCGATGAGAACGATGTCCAAGAAGAAATCAGGCGGTGAGTGCAGCTTCGCTCGCGACTTAAGTATAGTAGTGGCCGTCGCGGTTCTGAGTAGGCGACAGGTCAGCTTTTCAAATGACGACTCCGGAGGTGCGCGAGCTCGTCCGCGGCGTAGCAGGAGAGAAATTAACACCGAGCCGTCCATAGAAGAAATTCGCCTCCTTCGCCGATCTCCAACGATGGCACTGCCTGCATGCAGAAATAGCTAATTGTTGATCAGGCGACGGCCGTCGTCCTCGCCGGAGGGAACCGAGACGAAGAGGAGGGATCTTTGTTTTTTGGAAGACGTTTCAGGCTCATTCTCGCTTCCACTACTATATGAGAGCGGAACCGTTTCTACGCCGATTTTTTTGCAGAGCAACCAAAGAGGCGACTTTACTTGGTGAGCTATCATTGTACGCCAATGTCTCGTTTCACTCATTCACTATTCGTTCATAATTTTCCCCGAATGTCATATGAGCTCTTGGGTTTGTACTCACTCAGAGAGGTAGGCGACTTCATTCCTTGTTGTTTTTTGTTACGCGTCCTATCGCAGATCGAGAAGCTGCATGCGCATCGAACGTATAGAGGCGAAACTCAGTACTTGGTCGAATGGAAAGGATATCCCATCGAGCAGGCCACTTGGACTTCTGAGAGGATCCTCCTGGAAGACTGCCCGCACGGAGTCGAAGAGTACCTCAGGAATCCAGCAGTGGGTATTCGGCATTTTCTTCAATCAGGGCGCGGAATGAAATTTCAGCAGAGGCCATACCTCGTCCGACATCGTCTGATTGATTCAATGGCTGGGATTCTGAGTTCTCCCCTTCTCGTGTTTCTTGTTGAATGGTTCGATGAAAATGGGCGACAAATGCGCCTTCCGGCTTAACGGATTTTATTCTCGTAGCCCCGGATGACGAAGAAAGAACTCATCCTCTCGAGGCGCTCGGATTTTCCGCGGAGGGCGGAAGAACCGTTACGGAAGCGGCCTCACTGCCAATCCACAGAGTCCAGACTACAATCCGTGAGCAGTGGATGCCCTCAAGCGGATGTCGCTGAGAGAGGCGATGGCGATTGTCCAAGACAAACCTCTAGTCAAGAAGTTCCTCCTTATGAAATCGACGAGGCGAATGTATGATTCTGTTTCTGAGTTGTACTTCTGTGTTACTTCATCGCCCCGCGTGAATACCGTGATAGGCTTACGTACAGTCAGGATCTTGTCCCCCTAAGATTACCCCTCTTCCAGGATGTGCGCGATAGTCGTACGCAGTCTCCGATCAGCGTCACGTCGATGGATTTGCCCTATGCTTGCTCCACCATGCTCCGATTCCACAAAGCGATGAAAACGGCGAGATCCCTCATGGCTGGATGTGATTTACAAATACAATGATACCAAAAGCCGCTCGACGTCAGGACAGCAGCCTAGCGAGCCTGTGCTCATCGCCAGAATCGTGTCATTCATGAGCTGATATAATTTACAATTCGGTAATTGTGTCACTCATAATCGTCTCTTTGTTCTTTGGTCGGATATACCCGCGCAATTTCAATGAATAATCTTGCATGAAGCCCGTTCGAAGTGGAGAGATCTCGAAGCATTGGCCGTAGAGTTGAGGTTCCTCCAGCAGCTATCGGCGTTTATTCCGTCGATACAATCGCCATATATCTCTTATGTGCGCCTCGACGTGGCGTTGAATGGAACCAATTCGCGGAGTCCATGGAAATCGGAGGTATCGACCACGACTGTCGAGCCGAGGGCCGAGGGCATCAGAAATCAGTCCAGGTCGTCATTCTGCATTGTCACTTGTAAATATCGCACTTCACCTGCAATCTTGGAATCCTGGTCAGACGGCGCCGGCGTCGACATCGAATTTGTGATTCACTTCATCTATCCTCGAGCCGATCTCGAACGCTCCCTTATTCACCAAAAACGAGTGCTCGGTGTCTTCGGGCAGTCGGAGAGAATTTGACAGAATGCTTCCGATCTTTGGAAGCGCGACGAGCTAGGCGGTCCATCATCCCAAAAATCCACTGAGTTGTCATCGAACCGTTTGTAACATACTCCTCCAAACTCGTCCGATGAGTCTCTATTCTTCGGAGTTTTATGCGATTATATATTTTATTCCTCTTTCAGTGCCCAGGTACGATATCGTGCCAAGACCTCTAAAGGTAAGTCTAAAGGTGAGATAAGATCGATACTATGAACAAAGAGTCCGATTTCAAAAGTCAGGCAGGTCATGATTAGGTGGGTCGATGCAGGAAAATCGAAGGGATCACGACGGGGCGCGGCCGAGTTGACTTGAATCGTTGCATCGTTGGTACGTTCGACGCAGAGTTGTGCCGGACGAATCAACTTGACTTGGGACATTCATTCTGAGTCACGAGCCGCGAGTGTGCCGGAGTTCGCAACTTTCGAGCGAGAAGAGAATGGTGATATCTGTTCTGTGGGAATATATTCGTCATGTCGCCCTTCTACTTGAGTGGAACACCACGGAAGCGGAGACGAAAAGCTCGCTGAGCGTGATCCCAGAGGCTTCTCACTGACTCCGTGGATGGGCAGCGGATTGCTCATACCTACTTTTCATACGGGGCGCATCGAGACTGTCATATTCGATGGCGCTCATGTTTGAGCGTATGTCGCAGACTACATGATAGACGCTTCTTCCACAACTTTTCCAGGTGCAACTTTTCATATCCTAATATGCTCGTTCCTCGACCGCTTATCTCCAGGGCGAATATTGGTGGGGAAAATGAATGTTTTCAGTAATATATGAGATGTCCAGTCCCGCTCTTGGAAAGGTACCCACCATTCGGAAGCCTGACAGCTGGGACCGGGAAATGGGATGAATCTGCAATATACTAGTACGGACTGCCAAGAATTGTGGTAGATTCGACGATGAACACGGAGCCGCTTGATCGGGCTCTCGATGAGCATATTCTCAGCCACAGTTAATCAGCGCTCTGATCTTCGGCGTTCGGTCTCCGACCCTACGGGAGAATGCCTCAGGAAGTTCATCATCGCATTTCTATAGAGGAGGAATCTCTCCCCATCCTCGCATGGATGGGGGTTCCTCCGAGGGCAACAATCGCTCGAGCGTACACCATGTCCTAAATTGATCAACGCACGACCCACGTGTTCCGTCATGGAACTATCTGACAAGCCGGGAGAACCGGAAATGTGTTTTCCCTCGGATTTCATGTCGTAGGTGCATGCACGAAGGCACTTGCGAATGAAGCTGTTGACTCATGCAGCGCAAGCAGACTCTGAGTCATTTGAATACTCGTTATCGAGCTTTCCCCGATGTTTCCAGAAAAACGGAAATGTCGCAGCGAATTCTCTGGACTGAAATTCGCATGTGGCATGCTGTTGACCTGCCTTACTCTCAACAGCTCTTCGAGCGCAGACTGTGATGAGCTGGGGATTTTTCCCCGGAGCCGACGACGGATATTTTTGTGTGTTTGCTGCGTAGCCGAGAGCTGAATAAATTCTTCGTCTGACTCGATCTCACGACAGGGAGCCTAACACTCTAGCCGAGGGCCCAACAACAGATCTCGATGATTGAGCAATCCACTCACTGGGCGCTATGATCGAGGATTGGATCCAATCGAGGAGATTCGGTTATGTCTTTCATGCCCGCACTCCAGAAAAATCGTTGCTCATTATTAGGCTAGCTCAGTTCCTGCGACAGACTTCACGTCGCAGCCGCTGAGTCCAAACCCAGATCTACCTCCGACGGTCTGCTGAGAGGCACACTCCTTCAGCATTCAAGCAGATGGATATCCAGGTGAGTGTTCCGTCTATACCCGGGACAAGCTGATCTGAAAGCCGCGCTCAAGGCGGCCTCGGAGCGGCGAATGCGGAGTTTTGAGGGAACCTGATCCCGGACCCCCAAAATCACATGTTCGATTGAGCGATCAGCCTGAAATTCCGATGGGACGCGCTCCTCCAGGGTATGCTTCGTCGATTAGTGATCAGAAAACTCCTCGAAACGGTCCTCAGACTCGAATTTTCGGCAAATATCTACTGGCAGATCCCTCTCGGACCGGGAGGTCTTGAGACAGCCCCTCGCACAGGGAGAGCAGCCGACAAACGCACCGTTCATAACGTACAGGCAAGCGGTAACAAGGTGAATATCACCACGTTCCTTGTTCCTGCTCCAGTTCCCCGTAGTTAAGTGAGTGGCATCCAGCCGGAGTTCATCCGTCAGGCAGGAAGCATTCGACTCGCAACCTCTCCAGAGCACCTTCAGATCAATCCCGCGAGGCTCTGCGGATTCATCTCCCTACTTAAGAAACTTCGCTCCCTCCCGAAAATTCTGCGGTCTTGGCCTCGTTGCGAACGAATGGAGGAACGTAGAACCCGGGAACAATATCCAGTCAAATCCCGGATGCATTTGCGGGTGACTTGCTCTCCGAGATGCACGGGATCGATCGCTCACAAGACAAAAGTGCGCAGGGCATCGACGGAGTAGCTCGTGGGCTCTATCTTCCACGCTTTCCATGAGCAGCTCGTTCTTGGTTGGCGAGGTCCACCGCTACAAGGAAGTTCTTGCCAGCCCTAATGGGCCCGGCTACGGTTTCTGCATTCCGGGCATGCAATCGCCATTTTCAAGATCCTTCATGAAGAATGGAGAGCATCTGGCTTCAAATCGACGTCTGTGTCATCATTCTTGCTTTTCCCTATTCAGTCGCGGATTTTAATGCTCATAGGCTAAAACAGGAGGAAAACACCCGGGCTCGGAGAACGTATCTTTCCTACTTGGAAGGTAAATCGTGAGGGAGTCGTCAAAGGAATGAGGAATTAGCCGATTGGGAATGCGCTGTGCCTCCTCATGGGGAGAGCAGGCTCGAAGATTGAGCCTCTAGTCTCTCAATTGATGAGCTTCTCCTTGGTTTTGCTTCCGATAAACGGAAGACTTCCGACTCAGGCGTCAACGTATCCGTGTCTTGAGCTTCGCACGCCGTGGACTCCCAGATAGCTGAGCCACGAAATGAAAGATTTTCTGTTATTGCAGACAATCTGCGCTCCAGCGAGAGAGTCTCTCATCCTGACGGCATTCCAGGAAAGGTCTTCAGTCTTCGCCGGGATTCCTCTCGAGGGCGTAATACATCGAATCAGGAAAAAGAGGAGGGAAGTGGAGGAAGCAGCATCAAATGAGAGGCAAGACCAGCTGTTTTCGAAGTCCATTCCAACTTTGTTCTCGGGAAGATATTTATTTACAAAAATCATCGTATATACAAACAAACTCCGCTAAATCTCTCTGCTGCATCTTCGACTTGAGCTATCGAAAAGACCATTCGACTCGAAATATAGAGCGCGTCATACCAAAATTGATCTGTTCTCTTTCACGTTGTGTGTGACGCGGATCGCCTCTCCCGAATGGAAGCTCTCGCGGTATGCGAACCGTAGGTCGGTTAAATATCATCAGACATGAGAAGAATGCCAACCCGCGATCACGCACCTCCTAGGGGAACCCATGCATTCTCGTCGATCACAAACTTGTCTACCGCCCGAAATCTGAACTCAATAATCTGGGAGGAGCAGAAGCACAATGCAAACTCCTTATCACTAAGACCGAAGAAAATCGGGATATCGATCCTGGCCTCGTCGAAGTCTCTTCTCAATATTTCCCTCTCTTTCGCTCTACGCGCTTGCCTTCTTGCTCGTGCTCGGCTCAGGAAATGAGTTTACGACGTCAAGCTAAGTCTTGGAAGTTTTGATCCATTCCGTTCTTCGATTCGAACAGCTTTGTAACTCCAATGCTCGACTATCACAGCGGGACTAACCGTGAATTGTTCTTTGAAAATCTCAAGTATCATCGTTTTCATTCGGGAGGACCGTTCTCCACGCTAAGGAAAATTCTTGTTCGCTTCTTTCACCATTCATTCGAAGAAGTATGCTTTCGCCGATCGGAACAGTGCCAGGTGGAACAGTGAGGACAGAATCCACAAAATGTTCACGAAAAATACCCATGCATGGTTTAGTTGAACGATCCGAGGCCGTTCTATCCGAGTTTCTTGCGATCGTCTTTGTTCAGCATCCGGAGTCGTTGTGATCGAGGGCTCGTCCTCGGTTTGCGAGCTCGGAAACTGCCCGTGCTCGTAGAAGTGTTTCAGCAGCTGCTCTTTCTCAACCCACCGCTCATACATCCACGTCGTCAGCTTATCTGAGTCATCGAAGGGAACGTCCTTCAGAGCGAATTTTCTGTGGGACGGACAGAAACAAATAAGAAATCATGAATGCCTCCTTCTTAACGATACCAACGATGGGTGTCAAGAGAAGCATATCCGAATATGTGGTCGATACCGGGGATGGAAGACCTTGATCCACAGCGATTGGAGTTTCGCGTAAGAGGAATAGAATAATTATTCTCTCACCGATAATGGAAGTAGACTGAATGGGGTTTTCTGTAACCCGTCACGATAGCCAAGATGTCGAGGGGTCTCAAGGGAGCCCCGGGGTATCCGATTGTCAAGTCGACCAGGTACTCCATGGGAGCTTGACCCTTGAGATACTCTTTGTCCGTCAATATATCCAAAGCCAGCTGTCGAGGGAGGCGAATCATTAGAACACTTCCGAAAATATGTGCAACTAGGAGCTAGAACGCGATGCCACAATGAAAAACAAGATGATGTCATTTTATTCCATCGATCGTGTGGTCGCCTAATACCTTAGCGGCTCCAACACGAGGCAGTGTTACATTGTCGAGTTTAGGGAAGCCGTTTTTCGAAGCGAAGCGCTGGCTGCTTTCCAGACGCTTGCTGAGGAAGCCTCCTTCTGGGAAAATCACCATCCATTGGAGTTGTCGGGGTAGATAAACCTGTAAGTGCGAAAAAATTATTCACACGGATTACACCAGCCTCAGGGCGCGCCCAGCGAGCCACCGAGGACAATAACGAGAGCGGTAGGGGAGAGCGCCTCCGGAATATGAGACCTTTGAGAGCAGCGGAATCGTCGGGATCGAGGAAGGGATTTACTGACCTCGAGGAGGTGTTGTTTGAAAGTATCAAGCTGGGATTGTCGAGTGTCTTTGCCTTGAGTAATGAAGAAATCCCCGTGTGTCATTGAGACAAAACCAAAGTTTGTGTACTTGAACATCGCGTCCATAACCCACATCACATTATCACAGACATACTTCTTCACCTGGAATCGAGAAGAGAATGAAGCCTTCAATTGGTTTCCGATCGCCTCATTTGGTGGACGAACGGTACTCTCTGCTTACAGCAAGCGCTCCTTCGCTCGATTGCTCAATCCAGAACGGCTCTGAGCGAGCAGGAGCAGATGATGCTAGTCACGATGTGTTCAGCTGCCGCATGCAAGAATCGATCGTTCGCAATCGAGATGATCGATGAAGAAATGCCCCATCCAAGGATCAAGCGTCCGCAAATTGTCAATTGGAGCGAGCAATGAATTCCTTCCATAACCCCTTTCAAACTCAAATCACCGCGGAGCTCGGCGCCGAGGTCTCGATGAGCTCGCTAATGCGGGGGACAACAGCACCCGCAAATAAAGTCACAGAATTGACTCCCTCTGAGATGAATATCGATTAAGATTGAATCAGCCATCTCTATATGACCCCTGCTCACCTGGAAGGACGCCATAAGGAGCGGGACGTCGCCCGTACTTTGGTGGTTAGCGATGAGTAGCGTGCGTTTGTCATAAAGGTCTTCGATATCATCCCCGACCTCGTGAATCTTGTACCCGGCTGAAAAACTCCAGTAGCCAACCTGAGAAGAGACAAATTGTCTTAAGATATCTCGTGCGGAAATCGGACTCGCTTGCTGAGCATTATCTTCCATCTCTTCCGCACAGAATCTAGAAAGCCTCTGTCTAACACCGAAGGACTTACCATGAGTAGCAAATTCTTGTAGAGGATTTTCTCAGCCCAGATATACAGTCGCGTGTCTCGTATCGGGAGCATGAAGGCCCACATCCAGATTAGGTATGTTGGAATACAGTAGATGTTGTTGACAATTACGAACGCTACTCGCAGAACGCATTGCAGCTGGGCCATCATCTGCGCCACCTGCATCTCCTGCAAAGACAACGGAATTCTCTCGTCAGCCTCGTCCTAGTTTCTGCCTTAGACGAATGCACTCGATGACTGGATCTGAGGTCGACTTTCTTATTTCTGCGTCAAGCTGAGTCGTACAGGACGGCAATGAGGAAAAGGGAGAGTGTCTAACCAGGTGATCATCCGGAATGAACTCTCGTAGATGTTCTTAAGAGGAACGGAACGCTAACAGCAATGTTTTCGATGGTTTTGAAAAATTGTTAATCTTTGGTCGGAAGGTGTCGAGGAAATATCCACCAAAGTCGGATGCAAGTGATTATTGGAACGAGGAAAATTTCTCCGCGACCGGTGTGGTATGATTTCCTCCGTTCTTTACGCTCGAAAAATACCAGCGAACCTCGTTGACCGATCCGGCAGAGGATTCCAAGCAGCAGGAAATGAACATTCGCAATCAATTCAGCTCAAGAACTCCAAATGCATGATTTAATGAATTTCATGATATAATCCGGCTGCGATGCAAAGCTCGATCTGCCTGAGGATTTTCTGAATTCTCACAGAATTTCGATATACATCTGTAATTTCACAATTCAGTCAAAGAATCGATTTGATCGAACTGTTATGAACGTCCTTCGGATAACGTGCTTAGATTTCAATACGCGAAAGAGTAGCATAGCATGGTGGAATATTTACTGGATAAAGCGATCATGGGGGCAACAGCTCAACTTATTTTTACAGGACCGTTGCGCGCGGAGAGTAAGTTTCGCTCAGCAACGAGCAACATTGTTTTTCTTCCCCGACTTCCAGCGCGTTGATGATGATGTCGACGATCATCATCCGCCGAGCTTACGCAACGACGATGGAAGGGGCAGACGACTCTAGCCGCAAAAGGGAGCTGAATGGTGTTCGCTTTCACGGTGAGCAGGGTGTGATCTATTCCGGGCACGAGCGAGGAAGCGCGCAATCTATTTTTAAATCGGTTCACGTGGACATCGATCAGAACCGCGGATCGCAGACACCAGAAACGGTCGCGGCCCTGACAGTTGTTTCTGATTCAAGTTTCTTCATGATTTCCTCCCCGGTGTCCTTGGAAAACAATCGAAGCGCCGGTCGGTTCTGATCGGCAGACGGACTCAACTTTTATGTCCATCCTCCCGAGCAACCGGAGTAAAGGGCTGACAAAATGGCATTTACTTGGCTCTAAGGAGACAAAACCGCTCAAACTCTGAACCGTGACCCAAGACGTAGTACAGGACCCACGATGATTCCCTCGGCGATTCAAGTCAGAATCGTCAGTCGCAGCAGCGAGAATGAAAGCTGGAAATCTTCTCGAAATCGTGAGCAGTCGGTTTCGATGGTCTTCTGTCGATTTCGTTTCCTCAGAATACGTCGAGACCCTTTCCGTCAGATTGTTCTGCACGGTCGATGTCAACCAGATGGTCGAAGTTGCGTCACCCCATTCCTACAGGTTGGCGCTTATCTGGGCACCGTCATTTGCTCGGAAGCCAGCTTCTATGTACACGAACGTCGAGCTCCACCCACAGGAGCTAAGTGTCGCTCAAAGGTCGATGAAAGCCCCAGTCAGAGAGTCCCCGTCCTTGCAGGGGGAGGCCATCGATGACTAGGGTAATTGTTGTGAAGACCATAATAGAGCCGAAGCCGATAGAGTCGAAACGGTTGGAGACTCACGATTCGATTCGAAGAGGGCGAACGAGACTTGCATGAAAATTGGAGAGAGCACTGTCGAGATTAAATATTCTCGAGCTCTCAACACAAAGCATTCATCAAATGATATAAAATCATGTATCCGAGAACCCCCGAAGAATGAACGGCCCCGCTGGATGTTCCAGGTCTTGAAAAAATCATTCCGTGCAAAAATTGGCATCCACGCGATCCGCTGTCGGAATGGAAGACCAATCCGGAATCCAGCTCTGGCCTACGAACTTGGGAAATCAGTGAGTTTCGATTTTCGACCCGTTCCGAAAAATTCATGCCGAAGCTATGACCTTTTGCGGGAAAAGCTGCGCGCCCAATCGGTTGACAGCCGTAACAATGTAGTAGTGTTCTTTTTATATTGTAGCTGTCGTTCTCGTTGTGCCAGCTTTCCAAGTTCGCTGAGGTCCGCGATTTGCGTGTTCGCGGAGCATCGTAATTACATTTCTGAGTGGCTCAAGTTTCACAACTTCCCTGGAGCCGCAACGCAGCAAGTGTAAGAACGAGCAAAAGAAGAGAAGGCAGGCGCTTCAAACGTTGTCAACCTTGATACACTCCGTGAATCTGCGACGATGTCTAGGGCGGGTCGGGTTAACGCTCCATTGATTCCCTTCGGAACTCTTTCGAATTTTCGCAATTTTCCACATGTCGCGGTTTCTCTCGAGTCGCTCACTCAATGGATGCCTCGAGTCGGAGGAAGGACGGCCGGAATTCCTAGAAACAGAGCCAAGCGTTCCCATTACGCATAATTTTCGTTTCGTGTAGACCCCGATCTTAATCGGATCACTCGTTGTGATTACTCTTTGCAAGCGATATGGTGATGACAACATCTCTCGAAACCGAGTGATCAGACGATCTTGTTGGGGCGCGACTCGGATCCGTGAAGAATCCGGGCAAAAATAACGGGAACTCGCTAAGGAGTGTGAATGATTCTCTGTCCATTCGATTCGGTGTCGAAGTTTTCCCACCCAAGTTATCCGTCTTTATGACCATCATTACACATTACACAACGTGTGACCAAATACTGATCGAGGGACTTGTGGCGTGCATTCCAGAAGTTGGTCAACACCGAACAATTTTCTGGAAGACCTAATTCGTCGATCAGCCGGGCCGCACCAAATTATCACGGATCAGTGAGTGTTCCCCGTTGATCTGTCATTAGGACAGTGAATGATTTCCGGGACCTTCCCAGATGCCTATTGCCACATGTTTGGATCAATCGACGTGATACTGACTGTCCGAGACCTAGTACGGCGGCCATGTCGATAGGAAGCCCCCTCCCCGTGTATCTTCGAATTCGCGGAGGCTGACGTTGACAGAAGAACTCACTCGCTTTCGCAGCGCGGTAGCCCACGTGGGAAGCCGAGGGGATGGGCGGAAGAGCGGGGTGACAATCATGTCCTACTAAGTCGAAACTTTTTCACGATCGAACTTTTCCCCGAATCAGGGGAGCCCATGATCCTCGGGTTCTCTACCAGCGAACTCCGACAACGCCGCCGATCCGCGGGGCCGCTTAGTGCAGACCACGGGTTATGCGGGACCGACCACATGCAAGATGGGATAACGAACACAGCAGCGGCAAATATGACCTTATCTCAGGACAGAAAATAGTGGTAGCGAGTCAAGGCCGTAATGAAGTGTTCAGTTAAGCGTTTGACGACGACGACATTCGTATAACGGCTGCTACCATTCGGGACATATGTATGGAGAAGATCAATAGAAAAGACCACGAATTAGTCACTGGACGCGGTTCCTGAATGAACAGCGTGCACCTATCACCGAGGGCTCCGCGAGATGAGCCGGCATCGTCGGCATTTTCTCAAGCGTATTCTAGCACTTTTCTCTAGCCCTTCTGGCAGGACGACCATGCCGATGTTTGTCCACAGGATCATGGCTGATCGTCGCGACGAATTCAAGTGCCGAGTTGTGTTTGCGGTGAGGCCGCCCCGTAAACAACGCTCACGCACCAACACTTACGCACGGCCGCTCTCATGGCAGCGGTACTAGGGGAAAATGGAAGTCCCCGAGAAAAATAGCGAAACTCCCGTAAGAACCGTGATTTACTAATTCGCAACCTGGCAGTCAGGGCAAATCGATGGTCTTGGACCTTTGGACAAGACGAACGGAAACCACTCGTTGACGATATTGGTCAACGGGCACCTTCGGGATTGTTTTCTGTTGCTCTTGGGTCATCTGTTGCCCAATACTCGTAATGCGCTAGCGATGGTACTTCGACGGCTCAGTGCCATCAAAAATATCGTTCCAGTATATCTTCGTATCTGTTTTCCTCGACTCAAGTAAGTAAAACACGAAATCGCTAAACCCTGACAGTGAGCAATCCAAAAGAAGTGGCTTCCACCAATGGGCAGATTCGAAAAATTTATTAATAAGTCCATCTTGACGCGAAGTCGCAGAGAACGCTAACGCTCATTGGAAGACGTGGAAATCTGGAGGGTCCGTCGATCTTTTTTTGCTTATGTTCCCCCGAGTTATTGGCTATTGGCCCAGAATTCGAGACATGGCGTAATGCATACGTGAATCACTCGAAAATTCGATTATTATGCTTCGCCAGTCGAGGAAGTCACAAAAGATCACTTCCTGTCGAGCTTGGAATCATTTGTAGAATCCTTAGAGTTTTTCCAGACGTAATGACCGTCGAGCGCCGGTCCAATCAAGCCAGCGGCTGTACAAAGCTATGATTTCGCCAGCAAGCGCTGCAGGGATCTCTGAGCAAATCCTTTGAATAGTCACATCTGGTGAGCTCCATCAGTCGGTCGCGCAGTCTCCAGTCTCGAACGAATTAACGCGAGTTTGGAATTAGAGCCAAGTCGGTCACTTTCGGAGAACTCACGCAGCGACAGCGGAGAGTTTGATCAAGTCAGTCCGCTGACCACCAGAATAACGTACGATTGATCGAAGTGAAATCAACGAAGTGAGACGACACGATTGGATCTACTACTTCATCGCAACCATCGAAAAAGCGAACACGGAGCGTGATAGAGAGCTACGATTCCTTACGCTCGACTATGGCAATACGCCTTACCCCATCGGAGCTCTATGATGCAGATCCTGTATCGCGAAAAGAGCACCGATTCCCCCAGATTTCGCGGCTGTCTCGATTCGAGGAAAAAGAAACCGATGTCTTATCGATAGAGGTTCGACCGAGACGCTCGAACAGCAGATTCGAATCAGGGGAAACTCGTTCCAGAGATTTCCAGCAGTTTTCTGGGCTTCTCTGCTCGCTCCCCATGACATTCCCAAATGCAATTCATCGGTAGATCGAGGTGCATCACAGAAAACTAGCTCTCCAGAGGGAATATCCAGAGCGCGCCGGAAATCGGCTTAAGAGTCGCTCATCCGACGCTGATCTTAATCTAGAGAGTTATCGAAGAGACTCGATCGACGAGCATGGACAATCGTCCGACTCCGAGAAGAAACTTGTTATCACGAATACTATCCGCACGGCTCGACGGCTCCGTGTCGAAGCCTCCGCGGGTCACCAGCCGGTGCCCGGGTCGAATCACCACACAGCCCGCGTGATCAGCCGATCTCGCGTTGCGCGTACAGCCGGATCGAGAACTAAGATTGGTATCCTCAGGCCGCTCGTGTCACAGCTCATCTCGAGCTATCAGCTGGGCATTTCGGACCGACTCGGGACTAGGGCGTAACGTTTGAGGTGCGGAGACGATTTTCTCTTGCGTCGAGCAGATCGATCGACCGCGCTCCGAAGTGACGGAGACCCTCAGACCGCAGAGGAAACTTCCCCCACCCCGTGCAGACGCTCAGCTCCCCTAACGTCGTTAGGGCCATTAATGTGGTGGATGTCGCTCGGAGGGATCCACACCGGAGAACAGCCGAAAGACGCCGGCTGGTCGGGCGTCGTTGTCGACGGCCACGGAAGAGTTTAGGAGGAGTCACATACCTTTTTGTTCCTCCATTGCCGAATATTGTTCCGGTACTGGGCTAGTTCCACACCGCGAATCATCTCGTCTGCGTTGCGTGGGCTCGACACGAATCGGTCACAGACTCCACTCCGTCGGGTCGCTCTGTCGCTTCACCAGCTCGCCCGGAGAGATTTCACTATTCCACTTTCTTTGGTCGCTATCCAGCTTGCGGCGGACTTCACCGGCGATAAATACTTCCACACATAGACACGGAACCGGCCTGAGTCGAGACGACGGTCTCAATTCCGTCCAAAGGGGAATAGCTTATCCAGCAGCAAGGAACGAACGAAAGAACAACCAACGGACGAACGAGCAGACGCGCTTCCAGCCGCATGTGCCAAAGGCGATAGGAGGGAGGACCGCTGCTGGAGAGAGGCTTGAAAGGAGCAGCACGCTCTCTCGAGCTCTTCACAGAGGCGGCAGCGACCGACTTCGCAAGCAGGGGCGATTGTCCGAACGACAACGACCTCGGAGCCACTCCGATTCAATTGACGTATGCGTGGAGTTTGTTCCAGCCACCAGTGTTCTAATCCCGATGACACCGCCGCGGTAGTCGCTCGACACTAACGCAGGTAGCGCTCAACGGCCGTTGTTGTTGCCGCAAACTTCGTTGGCGAGGAGAGTGAGCGGGACGACGAGTGAGTGAAGGGAACCGCCGCCGCCGCCGCTGCCGCTACCTCGGCTGCCATCGCTGCTCCCACACCACCACACACGGCTTGTAGAGGGCTCTGCAGTCGTTTTGTCGTCATCATCATCGCCTTCAGCTTCGGCGGCGCCGGCGGGCTTTCGAAACGACTACCGGACTAGAAATATCCCCCGCCCGTAGATACCAGGAAAAGAAAACCTAATGGCGCCAGGCGACCGTCACAGTTGGAGATGTCACTCTTTCTCAGAGGTGGGCGGAGTTCCAAGACCGACCACCGGCGATCAGCTCCAGGAAGCGCGCGATTCGCTCCAACTCCGAGCTTTTGCAGCCGTACGCGCGCTCACCTGATCGTGTGCGGTGGCGCCGCGGTAATGGTCGAGGCGCCTCGGCTCGTTTCCCGTCACCTGACTTCTTGACAGGTTACCGAGCTCACTTCAGGCGGTGACGATCACCATACCTGAATCACTGTTTGTTCAAAGCGGATCACACTCTGCCGAAGTGTGAATCGAAGGCTCGCAAAGATTGGATTGCCCTGGACTGATTATGCAAGCGGATTTACATTTATCGCATCGATTCAGGAGAAGAAAGAGACCAGGAACTCGTCGGTTTGGATATGAACGTTCGTCTCCACGGACTTCCGGCCTCGAGTCTCTCCTAGAAGTAGAGGTCCACGTCAAGATAGAGGCGCACTCTCCCTGAGGCACATCAAGGGAGATTCTCCGGGAAGAGCTCGGTGGTCGTACGGAATCGGAAACTGATTTTCGAGAACGATGTTGGTGACTCATCTTTAGAGTGAGATATTTTGACGGAAATCGACATCGATTACGGTGCGCAGTGCTTGTACAAAGTTATACATATAATGGGTATTATACAGTCAGCTCCTTCCGATTCGTTCGATCCGCGCCGCCTCACGTGTTCGTTGCCGTCTAGGCACATGATGGCATTCGACTGAAAATCCCCAGGATCGGACTGAAGCTGGATTTACACATCAGCTCATTACTGTGAGACCTGAGCGAGTCTCAACTTCTCTCAGACGGATCAGGCTTCGAGGAGGGAGGCTCTTGGAATCACTATGGGTCTGACCCCATACGCAATTCATCTCACAGCCCGAATGAATTTTCTGCGAGAATGGAGAGATGAATGATGGATAATTCGATTGAAATATTCTCTCATCTCAGTGAAGACGGTTCGGGTGCTCCGGGATTGTAATCCGCTCTTGCTACTTAGTCTACTGGATTCCCCGCCCTCACCGACACCTGTTTATCGCGCTGTCCATTTTCAAAAAGCCACGAGTCCCAGAGGTCGGAAGTAATAATCACAATAATTCTCTGGAGCGATAGTCAGTCGATGAGGACCATTCGACTGCCCCCGTTCCAAAAGAAAAGCCTCCGCCTAGTCTTCACCTCACCAAGCGCAGCATCCATCCAGGGGTATCCTTCCTGAGCTCTGTTCCCGCGAGATTCCTAGAGGCGAACAACATTCGAGTCCGCAAAAACTCCTATGCCCAAATCTTCAGTATTCCGCGCTTCGGAAGCCGTCGAAGCCGCATGAAGGCTCTGACGAAGACTTGCCGTCAGGGCAGGGATGCGCGCAGTAGGCAGCGGAAAATCTTCATTCTGCAGCCGGCGCTCATTCGCGAGTTCACTGGAGTGCGAGGAAAGTAGCGGAGGTCCGATATTATCTGGCAGCCCACTGAGCCCGGGGAATCATTTTCGAATTCGCGACGAGCGTCACGAGCACAAATGGAGCCACGCAGGAATCTTCAGCGCTCCTTACCGAAGAGCGGCCTACGTGAGCTCGTTGGCGACGAACGGCGGATGAACGCTCTGAAACCTCAGCAGATTTTCTGGACATAAGGAAAAGTCGCTACCCGATGCCAGATAATCGGAAGAGAACCGTTCGAAAATTTTCTTCAGTGAACTATCTTGAGCTCCAATTTTTTCCGCCCAGGCGTTGCTCACGCTTTTCCCCGCCATCCACCTGCCTCGCCAGGCTGATGCCGTTGTTTTGATGGAAAGTCTGTTCCAGTCGACCGAATGCGGCGCAGCAGTCGCACACAGTGCGAGATAGTAAGTCGATTCATCAACAAAGGACAAAAGCCAGCGGGAGAATTCGCCAGTGCCCACGTGTTGATATGCTGAACCGCAAGAGCCCGATTTAGCGGAGCCATATCCCCTTCCTCTGCGGGAGCTTCGACCCGACTCGAACTCTGTCAGGCTCGGAGAACTCACCAAGTATCTTCCGAAGCAGGGGGACGCAGGGGATTCTGTAAAATCTCTCCGGAAATTAATTGACTTGGGGAGACCCGTCAAACTTCCCTGTCAGCAGTGTATCCGACAGTGTCAAAGTGCTATCAAGATAATGAAATGAGAGCAGCCTCTAGCAGCGAGCATCGAGGCTCCAAAAGTTTGCAGTAGCCAGACAGGTATACTCAAAGATTCTTCAACTCACCACTGGCTCGAAAACTTTTTCCCAGACAGATTCCCTACCTAGCGGTGTCCGGCCTTGGTTCGAAAACGAGGAAAATCCGAGGCAACGGACCTCTTCGGCCGCCGATCGGTGATCTCTACGGGTTTCCTCAAAATATTATAGTCATGGTCATCTGATCAGTCGCAGTCTTCGAATTTCGGCAGCTGTTTCCGCGGACGCTTGTTGCTTCAGCGAACCATAGAATGAGGTAAGAAGTCGTTCTTGGCTTGCAGGTCTAGACATCCGAGACTCCGGTGAAAGAGAATTCGAGCTTCGATCAGATCGATGCATTGATCCACGCCATCAATCACGGTTCAAGCTGTCTTCTGGCTTGCAACTGGAAGCCAGCTCGTCGCCGCTGTCCAGGATTATTTTTCTGGCGGAACGTCCCTCCAATCGATTCCTGAGATACAAGAGATGGATATTCTCTTCGTTACCGAAGGCAATAAGCATGGCGAGAGTACGTGCCGCGGCTCGAAGGTTGCTTCCTGGTTGAGATTGAAAGGCTCCTCAAGATCTGTGCACAATCGGGCCATCATCGCAGATAGAGCCGGAAATCGTAGGACGAATGCCGCAAGGACCTCTGCCGCCACCGGTGCAAGATAAGGCTTCCCGATCATGCGCTGCCGTCAGAATGTTCTGGTGATGGTCTTCAATCCGTTCGCTAAACAATTCAATGTAAACAAGCTCTCTGTCTGCGGTTGAACGCGCAAAAGTGGGCCAATGGAAACAGCCATCCTTGAGCGAGATTCGCTTGTTTCTTTCCCGCACAGCTTTCGGAACCACCGAGCACATGTTCTCTCTAATTGGAGGAACGCACGGCTGCTACCATATGATCGAAGCGGAGTGGTGGATAAGCCGCGCGGGTCCCCATTTGCGGACGACGGTACGTTCGTCGGCGACAACAGTATCACTCACCTGTATCGGAGGAGGGACTGCGTGGTGTAACACACACCGGCTTCCCATAGAGAATTCACTGGCGCAGAGACGCAGCAGCAGTGGCTCAATTCGAAGCCATATTCCACGACGACGACTCAGCTCGCGAAAGAGTCTCCACCGTTGTTGTCGTCGTCGTCGATATCTGTACGAACAGAGAGATCCGTCGGCGGCTGCTGCGGAGACACAGAGAGCCTTGCCCAGATTCGGTTTATACGCTTGTGCGTCGTTTTTCCTCCTCGTCCGAAGCGGACTCGACACGACCCTTGATCGTAAGTATGTCGAGTCCTCTGAGATACGCGCACAAACCGCACGCGAGGCGGAACTCTGCCGAAATGGAACCTATTGACGGGAGAGTGAAGAAGATGATGTCGATGATCTTTGCTGGAACTCTGAATCGAACCGGGGCATCCCTATTTTCCCGGAGTCCTGACTTCCAGCTCGGTCGCGGCTCAGAGCGTTGCGGCGTCGAAAGCTCAGATCAGAGCTCGAACGGCCCTAATGCGTTGGATCACCACTTCGGCGGGCTATGGAGCCCTCCCTCATAGCATATTGTCTCTGTCGTAAGAGCGGGGGAAGCCGCGGATCCTACCGACTGAGTCTCAGAGAATCCAAGCGGTTCGGAAGGGGCATTTGTGCCGCAGACTGTCGAAATTGAATGATTCTCACTCTGTGCAGAGTAGTACCTTCGGCGAGACTTGTATTTCAGACCATCAACTGGATGGAAGTTGGCAGATGAGCTACGTTTAGAAAATTCACGGACGGAAACTGCGGTCATATTGAGGGAATGCAGTATAGGGAGCGCTCCCTTGGATTGAATGTATGATATGTGGAGGATATTACGGATTTCGTTTTTCCGGGAGCTCCCACTGATCCATCCTTCATTCGTCGATACTATTGGGGTTACTCCGATGGCAGCCGGAACGGAGCTCCCAAGTAGATTCCCCGGGCCTCATCGCTTATCTAACACATGCATCCGCATCAGGATAATCCGTGCCTGCGGGGCTGTCGGACCGTCGAGACGTCCGTGAATCGATGAAGCGGGAGAATTGTAACTCTATTGGACCTCGGCAATGGAACACTCTAAATAAGCCGCCGGTAGAAATGTCCGGGGGGTTAGTCCTCAAACGGCGAAAGGGTGTATGTGACTCCGGCGAGTAAGGCTGAGGTTCGAATGACTTCAGTCATGTGAAATATCTCCATAGTGGAGCCTGCTAGAAATAGGAAAGCTCGCAGCGAGGAGCGTAACGGGAATGAAACGACGGAACGGGCAAACGGGGACGAG